CGCGATCGGCTCTGGCACTCCCCCCCAGATCACGTCACGGTGGTCATCCCGCGGCTTCCGTGGGCGTCCTTGTGGTGTTCACAGGCATGTGGTTGTGCTCGCAGGAATGTTGTGGCATTCGCAAGGTAACGCTGCGCTCGCGCGCTTGTGGTTCTCTCAGGGACGCACCGTTACTCTGTAGCTGAGAGGCATTGGTGTGGCGCTCGTAGCGCGGTGCCCGTACCTGCCAGCCCTGTGGTGTATAATTTCAGGCATTGTTGTGCACAGGCATGTTTGTACGCACGCGCTATGGTGTTCACAGTCGCTGTGGTTTACACAGGCGCTGCTGGCTCCAAAAAACGGGAAGACCTTGCTCTGGACAACAAATAACAGCAATCTCACGCCATTGAACTATTGAGCCACCGCCAGGCCCACCGCGACTGTCCAGAGTTTGGGCCCCGTCGGGGCCATGTGGGTGTACAGCACAAGCATCGTGTTGTACGCAGGCGACGTGGTGGACGCAGGCACGGCGGGCCCGAAGTACACGCGGCAGATAAAACATACAATATGCATAATCAGTTGACTCATTGAATGTCATAGGACTGCGCGCGACAGGATCTTCTGGTCGTCGGCGTCCTCCCCTGGGGGGCGTCTGCGGCTCGAGGGGGTGGCAGCGGGCGAGAGCTGGGGGTACCCTTTGGCGGCGCTTCCCGGGGGCGCGGGGAAGCTGACGAGGGGGCAGGCCTTCTCAGAATCGAAGAATCGCGGACATGTATTGAGGTCAGTATCGTGTAACCGATCCCTGTCTGCATCCCCATCCCCATCCGGGGCTCGAACTCAACGTTCTTGTTGGCAATGACGTGGACCGTGTTCGTTTTGCATGAGCCTCGTGTTTCGGGGGTGCGGTCCCCGATCCGTGGGTTTGGCCCCCACGCGGGGCTCCTCAGCATCTCTTCGGCCTTCTGAGAAGCCGTCTCTGTCTTTGGGGAAGGTGGGAAGGTTTAAGTCGCGTATGTCCCTCTACAGGACGAATATTCAAAAATAGTCCAAATGTAGTCTGGACGATTTCTTTAACATTTTAACCATTTTGCATTCGTTTTGATTTTTTCCTGCCAGAATCAGCCTTTGGGAGGACACGCCCCGACCTAAGAGAAGAGAAGAGAGCTCTCCCTCGTGCTCGATACCATTCACGGCTCGGCCCTCCGAGTCTCCAGCCTGCAGTTCGTCGAAGCTGATCGTAAGTCTGCGTGTGAGGAGCTTGTTGAGTTTTTGGGGGTCTGGAACAGCAGTATTGGAGAGGCCTGACGGCCGGTGCCGCCGACCCTGATCGAAAGGGCTAGGAGTGGGGGGAGGAAGCGGAGGAGGAGGAGGAGGAGGAGGAGGAGGAGGAGGAGGAGGAGGAGGAGAAGGTTTGGGGGTCTGGAACAGCAGCATTCTGCCAAGTTCCCTGGGGCGCGCCGCCGAACCTTGGCCCAGGAGCACCTCCAGCAACCCGTCAGGCGGAGGAGGCGGCTCAGGATGGAGGCGCCGACGACGACGACGACGACGACGACGACGACAGCGACGACGACGACGACGACGACGACGACGACGACGACGACGACGACGACGACGACGACGACGACGACGACGACGACGACGACGACGACGACGACGACGACGACCGACGACGACGACGACCGACGACGACCGATGACGACGACGAGGAACAACCCGCCGAGAAGCGCCGCGCATCCGCGGGGCGATGCCTTCGCCCGCCCGCCACCCTTTCGCGGAGGCCGGCAGTGGGCGGCGGCCGTGGCGCTGCTGCATTGCGCCCGCGAGGACCGGTCGCGGGCCTCGGGCGCGTCGTCGTCAACGTCGTCGTCGTTTGTCGTCGTCGTCGTCGGTCGTCGGTCGTCGGTCGTCGTCGTCGTCGTCGTCGTCGTCGTCGTCGCCGTCGTCGTCGGTCGTCGGTCGTCGGTCGGCGTCGTCGTCGTCGCCGTCGTCGTCGGTCGTCGGTCGTCGGTCGTCGTCGTCGTCGGGCCTCGCGGGTGGGCCGCGACCCAGCTGATAGGGGGGCGTGTTTGCGCGCGGAACGTATCCGTGCGACCGCGTATCCGCGGGGTTACGCCCGGGGAGTTCAGACCGCGAGGGCGCGGATGCTGATATGTTCGCCGCTCGTGGTCCACGGTGGGGGGGTGGGCAGTGGTCAGGCAAGCTTTGGACCCGGACCCCCTGGCGTCGTGAGCAAAAATACGACTGGATGTGTTTGCCATTTCCAAGCCTCCGCGGGCTCTCACTGTGCTCCGGGACCGTCACAAAACGGGCCGCGCGAAAGGGCAGGATAGGGAAAGGGGGGGGGCGAATTCTGCTGCACGCAGCTGGTTTCCACCCTGCCGCCAGGCCCATTCCCCGATACATGAGCGCCTCCCGCGCCAGGAGGCGCCATCAAAACCAGCTACGCGAGCTGATTCTCTAGAGGAGGAGGAGGAGGAGGAGGAGGAGGAGGAGGAGGAGGAGGAGGAGGAGGAGGAGGAGGAGGAGGAGGAGGAGGATGGCAGGGGAGGCAGGACGGCTATGGGATCCAGACCGGCCTCGAGGCCCCAGATCTCGCGGCCTGGCGACCCCAGGACGTGGCCGTGCCCGACGCTGTTAGCTTCAACGCCGCCATCAGCGCCTGCGAGAAGGGCTCCGCGCAGGAGGAGTAGAGGAGGGGGGAGGAGCAGGAAGACGAGGCGGCGTCTGAGGAGGAGGACGAGGAGGTGGAAGAGGAGGAGGCGGATGAGGAGAAGGAGGAGGAGGAGGAGGAGAGGAAGAAGACGAAGAAGAACATCAACAGATGAGCGGGAGGAATGAAGAAGGCGAAGGAGGCGGTGGAGGGGCAGGAGGTGCTCATGCTCCTGCCTCTCTCCCCTCCATTCCCTGTCGCTCCCCCCCCCTCCCCCGCGACCGCGCGGGGGGCGCAAGGGGCAGGAGAAGCGGGAGGAGCGGGTGAGAGGGGGGCGTGGGGGGAGGGGCGGTCGGAGGAGGGAGGGGGCGGAAGGAAGAGATAGTGGCAATGGTGATGGTGCATCGACGATTCGCCTCGCCGTTGCGTGGCTTCAGCGCTCGCCGAAGACGGCGCTCACGGGGCCATTCACGCACGCGGCCTCGGGCCCAAGCCACCTAAAACCGCGCCGAAGAAGGCAGCTACCCCTACATGTGCTGCCCGGTGTACTTGCGAAGGACCTCCGCAGGGGAGGGTCGGGGGCGGAAAAGACGGGGGGTGATGACTAGGGGGGGGGTGGATATCATGGCGGGGGCCGTGATATTTCCCCAGATTTCATGTCGCCTCTTCTTATTTCAATACGTCCCTAGTCCCCCCGCTGGGCCGCGCACATGCCGCCGGCCATGATTTGCACCCCCCCCTCTTTGACGCCCCCCTCTCTGCCGCCCCCGAGAGGGGGACCCCAAGCCGCCCCGCCGCACTCGCGAGCGCGGCCCCGTGCTCGGCGGAACCGGCCACGAGGCCGCCGACGGCCGCGCGGACCGCCTCCAGCGCGCGGCGGAAGGCGTCGACGCCGCCGCCGCCCGCCGCACCGCCCGCGGGCCCCGCGGGCCGCCCGGCCGTGGGCACCTCGCGCGCGGGCGGCCCCGGCCGGCTCGGTGCGCTCCGCCCACGGTGCCCGCCGCGCCGCGGCCGAGGCGCGCCGCGAGGCCCCGGCGGCCTCCCCACCGCCTGGGCCGTCGGCCCCGCCGTCGTCGAGGGAGTGCCGATGAAGAAGAAGAAGAAGAAGAAGAATAATAAGAAGAAGAAGAAGATAAAGCAGAAGAAGAAGAATAAGAAAAATAATAATAAGAAGAAGACGAAGAATAATAATAACAAAAGCGCCACTTTTGGCGATCCGCGCGGATTTTTCGGATCCGCGACGGAGGCGCCGCCGGGGGCGTCCATGTATATGTTTTTATGTTTATGGCGTTTTTCTAGTTCTAGAGTCGGCATCCTCTCGCCGGGCCAGCGCCGGTTCGGAGACGCCGAGGCCGCGCGCCGCGGCGTGCCGCCAGGGCGCCGGCGCCCGGGGGGAGTGAGAAGGGGACGGCCTTCTCAGAAGGCGGCGGGACTTTTCAGCAGCCCTCGCGCCTTCGGAGAAGTTTGCTGCGTCTTCGGGGAAGGCCTAACAGCAACTCTCGGAAGGCCGGGTGACTTCGGAGCCTTCTGAGAAGCCCCGCCCCCTCCCCCCAGAGCACGCCGCCGAGCCTTGAGCCTGGGCCGCTGGGTGCCATGGAGGCCCGCAGGGAGTGTTCGAGCAGGAGATGGACTACAGAATTGATTTGCCCAAAACTGTTGTTTGGTCTTCGTCGGACCCATGAAGCAGCAACACGTACGGCAGGTTCGTGTCGTGTCGACTGGCGGCGACCCTTCCAGCGGCGTTCAACGTTGAACGCCGCTGAACCTCGAATCGTTCGATGTGGAACGATTTTGACGTTTCGGAAACGGCCGAGCGTTCAAGGTTGAACGATCCCCGCGGCGTCAGGAACCAAAGCCAGGGTGGACACGAATCGAACCTGCCGTAGAATGTTCGTAGATCCGGGAGCCCGCCGAGCCTTGCTGCTCCCAGCGTCGCCGTCGTGGGCGCCCGCGGCGGCAGGCGAGGGCCCGGCGCCGCGCTCCGCCCTGCCGCGCGGAGGGTCATGACGGAGGAGGGGCGGGGAGGTGTTCGCGGAAGAGGGGTGGTCAGAGCCCCGAATCATCAGGGATAACTCGGGCCAGGGATAGCTCGGGTTCGTGTTTCGGGAATCCGAGCCCGAGTTACCCCGGACCCGAGTTACCCCGGATAACTCGGGCGTCCAGAGCCCCACATCATCAGGGGTAACTCGGGTCAGGGATAGCTCGGGTTCGTGCTTCGGGAATCCGAGCCCGAGTTACCCTGGACCCGAGTTACCCCGGATAACTCGGGCGTCCAGAGCCCCACATCATCAGGGATTTTCGGGTCAGGGATAGCTCGGGTTCGTGTTTCGGGAATCCGAGCACGAGTTACCCTGGACCCGAGTTACCCCGGATATTTCGGGCGTCCAAGGTGGGAGGAGGGTGGAGGAGCGGTTGGTGGATGAGGAGTGGGCGAACGAGGGATGATGGAGAGGACAATGAATCTCATGATGATGATGATGATGATGATGATGATGATGATGATGATGATGATGATGATGATGATGATGATGATGATGATGATGATGCTGCTGATGCTGATGCTGATGCTGATGCTGATGCTGATGCTGATGCTGCTGATGATGATGATGATGATGATGATGATGGCGATGGTGATGATGATGATGATGATGATGATGATGATGATGGCGATGGTGATGATGGTGATGTTGTTGTTGCTGCTGACGACAACGGTTATGATGATGGTGATGATGATGATGGTGATGCTGATGTTGGTGATGATGGTGGTGATGCTGATGATGATGATGATGACCATGACCATGACCGTCACCATGATGATGATGATGATGATGATGATGATCATCATTATGATCATCATGATCATGACGATCATGATGATTGTGGTTGTGATTCTGACTATGCTGATGATGATGATGATGGTGGTGGTGGTGGTCTGATTGTTGAGTGTGGTGGTGATGATGGTGTTGGTGAGGGTGAGGGTGATGATGATCATGATGAATATGATGCTTTTGGTGATGAACATGATGGCAATGGCGTCGGTGATGATGATGATGAGGATGATGATGATGATGACAATAATGATGATGATGATGATGATGATGATGATGATGATGATGATGATGATGATGATGATGTTGATGATGCTGATGATGATGATGATGATGATGTTGATGATGCTGATGCTGCTGATGATGCTGCTGATGATGCATATGTAGCGGATGTACATGGAGATGGTGGAGATGGCGATGAGGACGCCGACCATGATCCGTATGATAATGAACATGATGATGATGAGGATCTTTCGATGGTGTTGATGATGAGGGTGATGGTGGTGATGATGGTGATGATGATGCAGATGATGACGACGGTCATGACGATGACATTGATGTTGATGAGGATTATGCTGATGGTGACGATAATGATGACGTTGATGCTGATGCTGATGTCGTTGCTGATGTTGACTCTGGTTATGATGCATATGATGCTGATGATGATGATGACGACGATGCAGGTACTGCTGACGATGAGGTTGATGATGTTGCTCGTGCTGATGATGACGCTGGTGCTGATGATGCTGATGCTGATGCTGACGATCACGATGCTGCTGCTGCTGTTGCTGCTGCTGCTGCTGATGATAATGATGGTGGTGGTGATGGTTTGGTGATGGTGATGGTGGTGGTTGTGGTGGTGGCGGAGTCGGGTTGTGATGGTAATGGTAGCGACGGTACTTGTTAATCTAGTGGATGAAGAGAGCGCGGATGCGGAGGATGAGGAGGAAGATGTGGTAGAGGAGGGGTATGGGGTAGGTCGACCCCCAACATCCCAAGAGCCCAAGAGACGTCCCAGATGGGCCCTCCGAGGGCCCCAAGAGGGGTTCAAGATGTAGGATTCCAATTGGCATTTCGTGCCCTTCACTCAAGAGGGACCCCGAGACCGCCATCTCTCCCCCAGGATGCCCCCAAGAGGGCCACAAGAGGCCCAGAGGGCACCAGAAGATTCTCCACAAAACTTCCGAGAAGCCACCAACCTTCAAAAACAAACCGAAATCAACGAAGTTAGCCTTCTAGCATGTTCGCCTCCGATGCGCTGCTGAGGCCTCCGGATCGCCTGCCCCCCAGCCTCCCACGACGGCCCGAGAGACCCCCAGGACGGCCCAAAATGTTCCAAAAAGGATCCCCAAGACAGACTGAGGAGGCACAATACTAATTGTCCGTATGGTTTTCATTTTTTTGGGATGTCCCCCCCGGTTTTCGCTGCTGGCGGAAAACCGGGGGGGGTCACTACCGGTTCGAACCCCTCCCCCCCCCTCCGGAAAACCAGGGGGGGGTCTTTACCGGTTCGAACCCCTCCCCCCCCCCCTTCCAGTCCATCATGAAAAGGGAGGGGGGTCACTGCCGGTTCGAACGCCCCCCCCCCTCGAAAACCGAAAACCGGGGGGGTCATTAACGGTTCGAACCCCCCACCCCCCCGTCGAAAACCGGGGGGGGGGTGCGGACAGTGGTGGGGACGGTGGTCGTGGTGGGGACAGTGGTGAGGGGACAGCGGGACAGTGGTGGGGACAGTGGGACAGTGGTGGGGACGGTGGTGGTGGGGACAGTGGTGAGGACAATGGTGGGAACAGTGGGAACAGTGGGACAGTGGTGGGGACGGTGGTGGTGGGGACAGTGGTGTGGGGACAGTGGGAATGTGGTGGAAACAGTGGGACAGTGGAAGGTACAGTGGTGGTGGTGACAGTGGTGAAGGCGGTGGCGAGGACGGCGGTGGGACAATGGGATAGAGGTACAGTGGGGACAGTGGTGGGGACAGTGGGGACAGTGGTGGGAACAGTGGGACAGCTCAGTGGGACAGCGGAGGAGTCAGTGGGACAGCGGGGACAGTGGGGATAGTCGGGCAGTGGTTGGGGCCGTGGAGAATGTGGGGAGAGTGGAACCGTGGTGGGAACAGTGGTGGGGACAGTTGGGACAGTGCGACAGTAGTGGGGGCACTGGTGGGGACAGTAGGGACGGTGGTGGAACCAGTGGGGACAGTGGTGGTGAGGACAGTGGTGCTGGGAACAACAGTGGGGGATGTGGTGCGGACGGTGGTAGGGACCGGGAGTTGTTTGCTGGCGGTGAGGGGGGGGGGGGAGGGGTTCGAACCGGTTGTGACCCCCCCTCCGGTTTTCGAAGGGGGGGGGGGGGTCGAACCGGTAGTGACCCCCCCCCGGTTTTCGAAGGGGGAGGAGGGGGGGGGTTAGGGAAAGGGGGGGTTTTGCCGGGAGAAGAGAGGGGGGGGGTCCAGCAGGGGTGGGGGGGTTCGGAGGGGGGGGGGAGCCCTTGGGTTCCGGAGGAAGAGGGGGTGGGAATTTTCCACAGTAAAGCGGCGGTGGATCACGCTCTCTCCATTCATCGAATAACACAGTGAAGACGTAGCAAAGCTTAGGCCCATGTCTTTGCATTAAAGATGGTACATCAGGGTGGTTTTGTTGGATATATCTGCTTAACAGACCCTCTATATGTCCCTGATGATTTGGGCCCTGTCCGCTGCGGGTCCTTTCGTTGCTAATCACAAGAGGCTCCCAACAGAGCCCCCAGAGTGCCGTAGGAGGCCGCCACGATAGCCGAAGAGGGCCCCATAAAGGGCGCCAAGACGGGCCAAGCCCGCCAAGACTGCCCAGGACGCCCAAAGACACCCACAAGGGCCCCAGAGGACCGCACACCCGACGGCCCAATGACGGACGGAGCTTTGACGCCAAGGCTCTAGATGATTGGAAAGCCCTTCTCTCACGAGTCGGTGACATGACAGAGGTGACGTAAATCACTCGTCACACCTCGCACGGTGACGTACAAAAAATGGAACGCCAAGGCTCCCGCGAGCGAGCGATGAAGCGAAACAGCTTTTCACGTCAAGGCTCTGAAGATCGAGCGGTGACGTGAGCAGCTTTGAGCGCCAAATATTCTAAGAGCGAGCGGTGCCATGGGCCCTCTCGTGCAAGTTCTTGCAGTGCTCTTTTCGTGCAGACACGGGTTCTTACACGCACACATCGTGTAGGCACGTTGACGGACATACGCACATAAAGTAGACATGTGTATACATGCACGTGTATATATATGTGTGTGTGTGTATCAGGAAACGCATGTGCAGGAGGAGGAGGAGGAAGAGGAGGAGGAGGAGGAGGAGGAGGAGGAGGGGGAGCCGATATTCACCGCTTGCAGTAGCGAGTGGCGCGTGCCAGAGTCGGACGCATGGGTGAGGGTGAGGAAGGACCAGCACGCATATACGACGACAAGAGGGGAACGCAAGAGGGGGAATGAGAAGGTGGGAGAAGACACTGGACGTGTTTGAATATTTATTTGGGGTTCTCAGAGGTCGCCTCCTCCCCCTCGTCCCTCGATCCTCCCACTCCTCATGCCTTCCCCTCCCCTCCCCTCCGTCCTCCCCTCTCCTCCCCCTGCCTTGGCTTTCTCCCCCCTGCATGCCCATCACCCTCCACCCGCCCCTCCCCCCTCCTCCCCCGCCTCTGCCTCCCTTGTGTAGAGGTCTTCCAGAGAGCCTAGACTCGTCCTAGGACCTCCGACTCCGACCGCCCCTGCCTTGCCTTCATAGCCGAGAAGCACAATCGTTTCTTGAGGCGACTCTCTCGTGAGCAGATGAATCAGACCCAACGAGAAGACCTCTACATAACTGCGGCTGCTTTGAAGCCGAACGTCCTGAGCCGTGCCGAGAACAAGGCCAGGTTGCCGAGCACCATTTAATTGGGCTACGAGGTGAGCGACACAACAAAACGGGGTCGTCTTCGGTGACATCGGTTCGTAAGCTGCCCACGTAGGGTCGCGCGTGAGTGCCTTTGTTTTCAGTGCAGCGTGCTGCGCTGGTGGCCCGCGTGAGCCACCGCATAAGGTCGCTATGCCATCTCACGTGAGACCCGTTTCTTTGCGTTGTTCAGGTCACGGTCGACCGAGGTATAAGATCGAGGTCGCTTCGGGGAGGGACCCTAACCTTCTTCGTGCTTGTTGGGTGTTCCTGTGCATCCTGGGGGTGGGTACCCTCGGATGCTCCGTATTCTGGCTGTCGGAAGGTCTCGTGTTCTTGAAGGGTGCTCGTCTGTCCCAGGTCCGACTGCACTCTGACTCGCACCCACAGCGAGCTCCGCTCCGCTCCGCTTCTCCCCCTCCCGCCCCGCGCCCCGCCGCGCCCGCTCCCGCGCGAGCGGCCGCCACCGCCGCCGTCGTCGTCGCCGCTCGCGGCGCTGCCCCCTGTTCGTGCGTCGCCGTCGTCGCGTCGCGTCGCCCTCACCGACGTCGCGCGCCGTGGCCGCCGTCGTCGGTGGCCGCCCTCCTTTCCTGCCCGGATCCCGCGCCCCTGCGCGGGCGCGCGCTCGAGGCTCGCCTAGAAACCTAGAACCCCCCTTGTCCCTTCTCTTCTCTTCCTCTTCGTCCCTCTTCCTCATCGCCTCCCAGCAACTCCGACAACTGCTGGGAAGCCTCCCAGGCCCCAGCAGCATGGGTAGACATCTTCAGACGGCCCCGCAGAGTTGGGGTCACGGCGTTCCCCCAGGGGAGACTCGAACGCAGATTCTGTAATCCGTACGTGCTCGTGGCAAGGCTTCGACGAGGGTCGGTGCCATTCGTTGCATGTTCTCGCAGGGCCATCATGGCGTCCCTTTCTAGGAGCCAACGGAGGGCCTTTGGGTTCCATGGGGCACGAAGTGTGTGAGAGGTGTGCCAGATCGGGCCCCCCTCGAATCGTCTGAGGGGTCAGCCGAGGGCCATTGGGAGTGTTTTCACGTGTCCCAGGAGCTGTCACGCGCGTGGGCCTAGCGCTGGGAGTACGCTTCACTTGCACGTCTATGTGCCCCCAGGAGAATTACAAACCTCGGCCGGCAGAATGCGCGAGGCCGCTCTTAGCATGCCTTCATGCATGTTTCTCACTCTCCTCTATCATCCTCCATCTCGTCATCTTCTTCCGAAGCCTAACACGGCGAGGACCCGCAGGGGGCCTGCAGAGTGCAATCGCCTCTCACTCCGTTGTCCCATGTTTCATCATCGTTGCCACTTGCTTGCGTGCTCGTGGGTTCCGCTGGCAGGTGCCCTGTCCCGGCGCCCGCGTGCAGCTTCTCTGCGGTCGTTCATGATGCAGTGTTGCTGCGGGACAACGAGTGCCATGACCATCTCGAAACTAATTCTCATTTGGGACTTCTTCGGGGCCTCTTGGGCCTCATGGGCTCTTCAGGGGGACTTTTGGGGATATGCAGGTCTCGGAGGCCCTCTTTGGAGCCTCTTGGGCCGTCATGGGGGCTTCTTTGGCAGCCCTGGGGCCTGACTGGGTCGTCTTAGGGCTATCTTGGAGTCCTCTCGGGCTGTCTTGGAACGATCGATACCTGAACATCTTTCGCCGTCTCTGGGCTGTCGGAAGCCTGGAAGACCGAGATCTTTACAACTTGTCGACAAACCTAGGGACAACACTAGTTATGATTTGCGTCTTGGGGCTCTTGGCCCGCCATGGGAATGTCCCTGACCGCCTTGGGGTGCTCTTGCGCCGTTCCAGGGCCTTTGGAACTCCCCCGGGGCTCTCCTTGGGCCGCAGCATGGGTTCGGCAGCCGCAGCCTGCGCCCATGAGTCCGGTCATCTCTGGGGTGAACTGGCTGGGGTGCTTTTCCTCGGGGGGGCCACTGCCGCCGCGCGCGCCCGACGATGCAACCTACAGAATTTCTGGACCTCTTGCCCCAGGTTCTAGCAGGCCTTTGGCCCGTTGGTGCCAGCGGATTCGTGAATACCCCCCTGGCGTTTTCCTGGTCCCCGACCCCCTCGGAACTCCGCTAACATGTTGGCAAGTATTTGTTATGCACCCTGTCTTGGTCCTTACTCTCGATTGTTAATGCTGTCTTCCCCCTCGTCCTCATCGGCTTCTCCCTCTCCTAGACTTCTTCTGTTCCTCCTCAGCGTCTCCTCCTCCTCCTCCTACTCCTACTCCTACTCCTACTCCTACTCCTACTCCTACTCCTACTCCTACTCCTACTCCTACTCCTACTCCTACTCCTCATCATGCATCCTCCCCTCTTCTCCTGCATCCCCCTCGTTGTTCTTTGACCCATTGCAGTCGACGGGAGAAAGTACTGTCTGTTTTCTCCCGTCGCCCTTGTCTGTCTGAGACACTTTGGGTTGCCAGAGGTCCTCGCCACTGAGGGCCGTGCAGACGTCCGCTGTTGCAACAACAACTCCTTCCCTCCCCACCTCTCGTCCTCCGCTTGGAGGCTCCGCCTGGGCCGCCGCCCTGGCGCTGCTGTGGGGCATGCGCGCGGAGGACACTCCTCCCAATACCTATCTCTTTCTCCTACTCCCCATCACGACCTCCTCCTCCTCCTCCTCCTCCTCCTCCTCTTCCTCCCAATTCTCATCCTCCTGCCCTCCCCCATCTCCTCCTCCTTCCCCTACCTCCCCCTCTTCCTCCCCGTCCCCCCTCTCGTTGGTCGCGTCCCAAGGGTCTCGGCTTCGCTTCCTGCGCTGCAGTCGGTTGCCCCCGAGTGGTGTGGTGACCACGCCACGTGTCGGAGGAGGACACGGTGCCCCCACCGCTACCCTTGCCTCGTTTTCGCCTTTGTAGGCCTCCTGGGAGGCCCTCGTCGCCACGGCAGGATTCGTCTCGACATCCTGGTCAGACGCGCCCCGGGAGAGGTCCAGGGAGTAGCAGTATCGATGTCTTTGGGCGTATGCCGTGCTGTGAGTCAGTCGGGGTTCGGAGTGACGTGTGTGCGGTAGCGTTGGTGTGTCGCGCTGGCATTTGAGGGGCCAGACGATAATCTCGACCCTGTCCTCCGCCGCAATGTATGGTGGGCGTAGGGGTCGTTCCTCGCCGAGACTAGGTGTTGGCAGAGGCACAATCTAGTTCGCGCATTGAGTCCTCAGCCGCAGCCTCAGTACTGTATGCATCCAGCTGCCTGCCGCACGTCCCGCCACCGTGCCAGCCCAGTATTCTGGGTGGCGGCCCTTCGAGGGGGAACAGGAGGCCGTCACGTGAGGCCAATTGTGTTAGGGGATGTTTACGACTACGTTGATGATGATGTTGATGATGATGGTGATAATACTAATGATGATGATGATGATGATGATGATGATGATGATGATGATGATGATGATGATGATGATGATGATGATGATGATGATGATGATGATGCTGTTGCTGATGCTGTTGCTGATGCTGATGGTGATGATGATGCTGCTGCTGTTGATGCTGCTGACGATGCCGATGTTGGAAAGAGCGTGTTCTACCGCTGCTGGCGGAAAACCGGGGGGGGTCACTACCGGTTCGAACCCCTCCCCCCCCCCCCCCCCCCCCTCGGAAACCGGGGGGGGTCACTACGGTTCGAACCCCTCCCCCCCCCCCCACCCCCCCCCCCCCCCCCCCCCTGCTCATCATGAAAAGGGGGGGGGGTCACTACCGGTTCGAACCCCCCCCCCCCTCCGGATCCGGAAAACCGGGGGGGGTCACTGCCGGTTCGAACCCCCCCCCCTCGAAAACCGAGTGGGGGTGCGGACAGTGGTGGGGACGGTGTTGGTGGGGACAGTGGTGAGGGGATAGCGGGACAGTGGTGGGGACAGTGGGACAGTGGGACAGTGGTGGGGACGGTAGTGGTGGGGACAGTGGTGGGGACAATGGTGGGAACAGGGGGGGACAGTGGACAGTGGTGGTGACGGTGGTGGTGGGGACAGTGGTGTGGGGACAATGGGAATGAGGTGGAAACAGTGGGACAGTGGAGGGTACAATGGTGGTGGGGACAGTGGTGAAGGCGGTGGCGAGGACGGCGGTGGGACAATGGGACAGAGGTACAGTGGGGAAAGTGGTGGGGACAGTAGGGACAGTGGTGGGAACAGTGGGACAGCTCAGTGGGACAGCGGAGGAGTTAGTGGGACAGTGGGGACAGTGGGGATAGTCGGGCAGTGGTTGGGGCCGTGGAGACAGTGGGGAGAGTGGAACCGTGGTGGGAACAGTTCTGGGGACAGCGGGGACAGTGCGACAGTGGTGGGGCCACTGGTGGGGACAGTAGGGGCGGTGGTGGAACCAGTGGGGACAGCGGTGGTGAGGACAGTGGTGCTGGGAACACCAGTGGGGGATGTGATGCGGACGGTGGTGGGGACCGGGAGTCGTTTGCTGGCGGTGAGTAGGGGGGGGGGGGGGGGGGGGGGGGGGGTCGAACCGGTAGTGACCCCCCCCGGGTTTTCCGGATCCGGAGGGGGGGGGGGGGGGGTTCGAACGGTAGTGACCCCCCGGTTTTCGAGCGGGGGGGGGGGGGGGGGGGGGGGAGGGGTTAGGGGAGGAGAAAAGGTGTTTCTGTGTCCAGATGGGGGTTTCGGTGTCCTCGATGAGTGTTTCTGTGTCCAGATAGGGTGTTTCTGTGTCCCAGTGTATGTGTGTCTTGGAGTGGGTCCGGGTTGGGAGTTTCTGTGTCCCAGCGCGCCTCTTGGACTTCCCGAGCGCGCCTCTTGGACCCGGGGCCGCTCCTTCTTCCCCTCCTCCATGTGTCCTTTGCGTTCGTTTTTTTGGGTGTCCTTGCACGTGTCTGTAAGGATTCCTCTTTGTCCGCTATTTTTGCGCATTCGTTGTCTCCTCAGTTTCTCCATTCCTTGAGGGGCGTTGCTGCGAGAACAGACCAGAGGATTTATCCCTTTTCGTATCGCTGCCAGACGAAGCACTTAAATATGTACCGCAGGACTTTGCCTTGAACAAAGATGAGATATCGCAAGAATTGTTACTGTAACGCCCTGTCCTGGTGGAAGCTGCGCGCCGCTTCGGGTGGCGCGATGGCGGAGGCCAGTTCTGTCGAGTTACTGAAACATTGCGTCTGTTGGGAGTGCTGCGGGACGCAAACGAAGGAGGACATCGATCAAACCCGAGGGGAGATTCAATTAGTCCTGCCCCTCGGGAGCCGCGGGTAGTAGTAGTAGTAGTAGTAGTAGTAGTAGTAGTAGTAGTAGTAGTAGTAGTAGTAGTAGTAGTAGTAGTAGTAGTAGTAGTAGTAGTAGTAGTAGTAGTAGTAGTAGTCGTAGTAGTAGTAGTAGTAGTAGTAGTAGTAGTAGTAGTAGTAGTAGTAGTAGTAGTAGTAGTAGTAGTAGTGCCACAAGCATGACATACACACGATGCCACAAGAGCACAAGGTGGCGGACACAGAAACTCCAAAGTGTCCCGCGTCCACAAAATCCTGGACGCAAAAGTTTCCCCTATTGGACAACGGTTTGATTTCCACGAGAAGATGGGTCTCGTCGCACAATACGAAACGCATTAGAACGGCATCATAGCGGACATAGAAACACTCATCCTGGGGACCCCCGGGCGGCGCGGGACACAGAAACACCCAACGGGGACAGAGAAACCCCCAGTTGCACAGAAACAAACCTGTCGCGTTAGGGGGGGGGGGGGGTTTGCCGGGGAGGAGGGGGGGGGGGGGGGGGAGGGGTTCAGCAGGGGGGGGGGGGATTTTCGGAGGGGGGGGGGGGGGGCGACCCCCGGGTTCCGGAGGAAAAGGTTGGCAATTTTCCACAGTAAAGCGGCGGTGGATCACGCTCTCTCCGATGTTGTTAATGAAGGTAATGTTTATGGCGATGATGATGATGATGATGATGATGATGATGATGATGATGATGATGATGATGATGATGATGATGATGATGATGATGATGATGATGATGATGATGATGATGATGATGATGCTGACGATGCGCTTGATGCTTACGATGCTTATTCATAATGACGATGATGCTGATGCTGCTGTTGATGATGCTGGTACTATGATGATGCTGAATATAAGTATGATGTTGATGCTGATACTGGTGATGATGGTGATGATACTGAGTTTGATACTGATGATGCTGATGTTGTTGTTGGTGTCGGTAATGATGATGGTGCTGCTGATGATGGTGATGCTGCCGCTGATGATGATGATGATGATGATGGTGCGTTTGTTGATGATGATGACGGTGATGAGGCTGATGATGGTGGAGATGATGATGCTGCTGCTGATGATGATGATGGGCGATGGTGCTGATGATGAGCGGCTAGGATGTTGATGATGCTGATGACGACGACGATGATGGTCATGGTGATGCTGCTGCTGCTTATGATTATGCTTGTGGTGAGGAGGAGGAGGATGATGCAGATGAGGATGGGGGTGATGATGAGGACGAGGACGAGGATGCTGATGCGGATGCGGATGTGGATGATGAGGACAACGAGGATGTTGTTGATGATTGGGAGGATGGTGATGATGTTCATCATGATGGCCAGTATGAGGATGCTTGCGGTGGCGATGCTGCTGATGCCGCTGATGACGATGATTTTGATGCTGATGCTGATGACGATGCTGAGGATGATGAGGATAATGCTGATGATCATCATGCTGTTGATGCTGATCATGATGCTGATGCAGCTGATGATGCTGCTGGTGATGATGACGATGAGGATTATGATACGTACTAGTATTCACACAGTCGTATCATTCGTATTACTGTTATTTTCTTATTAGGGTTACCTTGTTTGCGGTTCGTGCCATTGTGATTTGACGCTGAGGCTGTGGCTGATGATGCTGATGCTGCTGATGATGATGGTGATGTGATGATGATGATGACAATGCTGCGATTGAGGAGGAACAGGATGAGAAGTGGAGGAAGAGGAGGCCCGTCACATGTGACACCGTTCGTCTTCACTATTCGAGGAGCTCTCACACAGTTCGGGTGGGCCGTCTTGGGGCTGTCTTGGCCTCCCGTGAGGCAGTCTTGGGGGTCCCTTGGGGGCAGTCTTGTTGGGGCCCTCTTAGGCCGTCTTTGGGCTCTCTCGGGCCATCTTGGGGCCGTCTGCGAGGCAGCGGCAGCCAAACAGTGAGTGCATGAAAGTCTGATCGTGTGTGTGTGTGTCGAGGGTGGTGGCTATGGTGATGGGATTGTAGTAGCGGTGGCGGCTCGGACCGATTTTTTAATTTGGGGGGGCGGTGTGGGTGGTGGGGTGGTGGCGGTGGTGGTGTAAGGGCGGGTGGTGGTGACGGCGGTGGTGGTGGTGGTGTGTGCGCCCGTGTGTGTGTGTGTGTGTGTGTGTGCGCCCATGTGTGTGTGTGTGTGTGTGCGCCCGTGTGTGTGTGTGTGTGTGTGCGTGCGTGCGTGCGTGCGTGCGTGCGTGCGTGCGTGCGTGTGTGCGTGTGCGTGCGGGTTGGGATCGGGGCGGCGTCCGCGTCGCTCGCCGCCTCGGCGTGCCGCCTGGCGCGGCCTGCAGGGGGCACGCTGGGCCTCTTCGCGCTCCCTGCCCAGGCAGTGGCGCGCTTTCTCCTCCCAATGCTTGTGCCTCGGGGCCGGCCGAGGGGGGGTGGATGTAACTGCTCGGGCTCTCTACTCCAGATTTCGTAATAAAGGGAGGGGGGTCTCATTTCGGGGGGGGGTCTCTTCCAGGCTATCTTGGAGGGCCTGGGGGGTCTGGGGACGATGTTTTGGAGGGTTCTCCCACGGGGGAGGTCTGAAATGGCTTGTCTTGGAGGGTTGTAACCCCATGGCCCGTCTTCTTCTTTCGATGCGCCGCTTGGTCTCCCCCCTCGTCCTCGCACGCGCCTCGGACCATGATAACTATGCGAACCCCCCTGTTGGACGACCCCGACTTCCCCCTCCTCGGTCCGCCCCTCCCCCCCCCCCCCGCCCTCCTCTCTGCAAATCCGTCCTCCCCCCCCCCTTTCTGCACCTCCCTGCCCGAGGCCGCGCCCAGGCCGCCAGGAGGGGTGGTCCTATAAGAACGGCCTTATGCGCTCGCACGGCGCGGCTCCGGGCGGAGCCTCGCCAAGGAATGGGTGTGCCGCAGCTGCGCTGGCCTCGCGCGCTCGTCGGGCAGGCCCAGGATGAGGAAGAGACGCCAAGATGGCACGGGAGGCTCCCGTGAGTTGCCACCGACGGATCTGCAACAACGAGAGGCCGCTTGCATGGAGGGGGTGGGGGCGTGGCGAGGCCCGAAATCTGATCTCCTCGCGCCAGGGATGGGGTTGCAGCGCCGATCCAAGAAATCCGCGCCGACCTCAGAAATCATGCTTCTGCAGTTGTTCGTCCCTCTATCGTTCCAGAGCGTGCCCGAACGCCCTCAGCGCGTTCAGGAACGCTCGAAGGCCCGGGCGCCCAGTACATTCGGGGGCGGCAAAGAGGGGTGTGATGACAAGGGGGGCAAGGTTACAATGGTGGGATGCATGATATCTCCCCATGTTTCATGGCGCTTCTTATTGTTTCAATACGTCCCCAGCCCTCCCTTGGGCCGCGCACATGCCGGCGGCCATGATTTGCGCTTTCCCCTCTTGGACGCCCCCCCCTTGGCCGCCCCGATACATCTTCCAGAACCGCCAGATCTCAGAGAACCCCGATGTGCCCCTGTCCGATCTTGTCCCTGTGCTGGCTTCGGCTTCGAGGTGCCGCCGCTGCGCCTCGCGCGCTCGGGCTGGCCCGCGGCGCAGTCGCCAGCAAGGAAGCGGGACCCCTCGCCGACCGGACGGTACCCTTTCGGGTTTCGGGTGACTTTGTTTTTGGAAGTGTCAAACACTTCGGCGCGGGCGCGGTGGTGTGTCGCGTTCGCTGCGGGGCCTGCTGCGCGGGGGCAGGACTGGCTGGGCGGTCGAGCCAGGTTGCGCAGGCGTTGCCCATCGTGGCCGGCCAACCCCCTCACCCGTGCCGTTCGGAAGAGTGGGGCCGGCAGTGTTGCAGCGGGACGCTCTCCCCCCGCCTCGACACGCCTTTGGGCGCGGCGTTGCACGATTTCCATCCTAGGTAATCGTCTCTGCCGCCATGTCGCTGTATAGCCTCCAGCTTGTGCTGGGGCTTTCGTTGATTGCTTGTTTCTGCGGGGTTCTTTCCTCCTTCGCGTTCCGCTCCTCCTCCTCCTCCTCCTCCTCCTCCTTCTCCTCGTCGTCCTTCTCCTCCTCCTCCTCCTCCTCCTCCTCCTCCTCCTCCTCCTTAAGACAGTGTTTTATCAGTCCTCTCCCCTCCTAGGCCTCTTCCTCCCTCGTTCTTTCTCCTCCTCCCCCTCCGCCCCTCCCCTTCCTCTCCCCCTAATCCTCCTCATTTCTCCTCCCTTTCTTCTCCCCTCCCCCCGTCCTAGGGCATTTAGGGTACCATGCGTGCCCCCAAGAAGGCTGCCTATGTCTTCGCGCGGGAGCGGTGACGACTGCGCTTTGAATTTCGTGGTTCGGGCCAGAGACTTGTCGTTGTCGGGGAGGAGGAGGAGGAGAACGAGAACGAGAACGAGAACGAGAACGAGAACGAGAACGAGAACGAGAACGAGAACGAGAACGAGGTGGAGGAGAAGGGGGAAGAGGAATGCGAGCAGGAGGAGGAGGAGGAGGAGGAGGCGGAGGAGGCAGCAGAAAAGGGGGGATGAATTGAGGGCGTGTGAGAAGGCTCTATGGGGTCCTGGGTTGCCTCCCAGCGAGTGGAGAGAGGGACGGCCGCAAGGGGGCGACACCCGACTGCTTCTCGTTCAACGCCGCCGTGGGGGCCTGTGGCAGGTCCCCCCCTCCCCACCGACGCGCGGAGGAACGCGGGCGGTGTCAGAGGAGGGGGGGGAGGAAGAGGAGAAAGGAGGAGAAGGAAGAGCAGGAGGGTGGAGCAGGAGGGAGGGGGGAGGAGGAGGAGGAGGAGGAGGAGGAGGAGGAGGAGAGGAGGAGGAGGAGGAGGGAGGAGGAGGAGGAAGGAGGAAGGACGGAGGAGGAGGAGGAGAGGGGAGGAGGAGGAGGAGGAGGAGGAGGAGGAGGAGGAGGAGAGGAGGAGGAGGAGGAGGAGGAGGAGGGAGGAGGAGGAGGAGGAGGAGGGAGGAGGAGGAGGAGGAGGAGGAGGGAGGAGAAGGAGGAGAGGAGGAGGAGCGGGGAGGAGGAGGAGGACGAGGAGGAGGACGAGGAGGAGGAGGACCAGGAGGAGGAGGAGGAGGAGGAGGAGGAGGAGGTGGAGGAGGAGGAGGGGGAGGAGGAGGAGGAGGAGGAGGAACGAGCAAGAGCAGGAGCAGCATCAGGAGGAACCTTTCCTTCCTCCGTCTGGGGGAGGCCGTTTGGGTCGTCTTGAGCTGACGGCAGCCCGAAAAGGCGACAATCTGACGATCATTCAAGATCCCAAGGGACATCAATGATGTTGGTTTCTTCGGACCTTCGTTGGGTCCTCTGGTGGCACTTCTGGGCCTCCTGGAGGCATCTTGGACCGTCTTGAATGCATGGGAATGCGGGAGTTGCACGATTCTCGAGCGGGCGCGCGCGGGATGCGAGGACTAGGAGTCTCGCCATGCGGGAAGTTCACAATCCTCGAGCGGGCGCGCATGGAATGAGGCTTCAGGTATCAGCTGCCACTCGGGAAGTGCACCGTCCTCGAGCGGGCATTCGTGGACTAGGGGCTTGGGCAGTGGCCACCATGCTGGAAGTGCACCATCCTCGAGCCTGGCACGAGGGACGTGACCTCGGGACAAGGGGGGGATGCATGCGGCTGTCTGCGAGTGGACTGGTAGAGGGAGGTGCGGCCCCTTTTATCAGAATTAAGTCGGGCATGTCCCTCTACAGGAGGACGATTCAAACATTGTAAAACAACAGTTTGGGGACGATAGGTATATGTTTATATGTATATGTGTCTATCGAATCTAGGTCCGTCTGAGGAGGGGTGTGGGGAGGGGCCTCCTTTCATCGGCTGCTGCATCAGAGGCAGACGGCCCACCATTGAATTTATCCGAGGGCTCTAATCGCCCAGGTCTTCGTCGAGACTTCCTGACGAACGCGTGTGATGCCCGCCCCCTGGCTGTTGGCTGCCCACCCCCTGCTCCTCCCTCCGCCGACTGCCTGAAACGCAGATGGTATTGGGCAATGGGCATTGCAGCAGAGACGACAGGCCCAGCGGTCCGCGAACGCAAGGAGGGGCGTGGGGAGGGGTATCTGGGAAGGCCTGCCATCCTGAGATGTCCGCGCGGTCGTTGAGAGTAGGTTACCCCTATCTACTGTATTCGCCTTCCTACTTCAAGGGTTGAGTGTTTTTTTCTTTGCCGTCCGATTCAGGGGGCGGGCGGAAGCGCAATCTACTTCCAACGCCTTCCTATCTCATGCTTTCATATACTCCTTCCAACCGGAGTAGGCCGGGGGGGGGGGGGCAAAAACGTGTCATCATTCCCCATGGGCGCCCCCCCGAACCTTTGGGGGGTCACAGACCCCCCAGGACTGCCCCAGGCCGCTTCCAAATTGCCCACGACAGGCCACGCGGGCCGTACAGATGGTCAAGGAAGCCTCAAGAGGCCCCGAAGACGCCCAAGAGCGCCCCAAGTGGGCCCGAGATGGCTTCAAGATGGCCGAAGAGGGCCCCAAGAGGGCCTTCAAGAGGCACAAATCAGCCCGTTCCCGTAGTAAAACGTACATGTTCAGCATACTCGCTGGCTTCGTCTTCACAGTGCCCCAGACGCCCCCGCGGAGCCCCAACACAGCCCAAGAGAGACCCAAGAGGGCCCCAGACGGCCCAAAAGGGTCGGCCTGTGGGGCTCGCGGAACTCCCGAGACGGCCCAAGAAGACTTAGAGTCGGCCCAGGAGGCCCCCAAGACGGCCTCAGGGAGGCCCAAGCGGGCCTCGTTCGATATCATGTTCCCCGAAGCCTCTCCGGGAACATGACTTCTGGGCTCCCAGGACGCCCAGGAGGCCCACAAGACAGCCTCAGCAAGGCCCAGGAGGGCCCGAGATGGCTTCAAGATGGCCGAAGAGGGCCCCAAGAGGGCCTTCAAGAGGCAAAGAGCAGCCCGTTCCCGTACATTTTCAGCATGCTCCTTTGCTTCGTCTTCGCAGTGCCCCAGACGCCCCCGAGGAGCCCCAAGACAGCCCAAGAGACCCAAGAGGGCCCAAGACGGCCCAAAAGTGTCGTCCTGTGGGGCTGACGGAACTCCCCAAGACGGCCCAAGAGGCCCCAGAGCCAGCCCAGGAGGCCCCCAAGACGGCCTCAGGGATTGCAAGAGGGCCTCGTTCGAAATCATGTTCCCGGAAGCCTATGCGGGAACATGATTTCCGGGTTCCCAGGACGCCCAAAGACATCCCCCCAGAAACCCCGGACACGCCGAAGTTGGCCTCAGGACGGCCGACGACGCCGCCAAAACGCCCCAAGAGCGCCTCCAGAGGCCCCTCCAAAGGGATCAGAAGCCGAAAATCATAAATCATTCAATGGTTTTTGAAGCGTTCTTGCGCTCTCCCATGTTCCGCCTCCCCACGGTCCCGGACGAGTCGTCGGAGCGTCCAAAACGGCCTCGGCGAGGAAGCCAAAATCATTGATTTTACTTTGGTTTTGGCCCCATTTTGGCCTCCTGGGGGGGACCCTGATTAAAGCTCCCCTCTTGTTTGATCGATCTCCTCCAAGATGGCCCCAAGAAGCGCCCAGGAGGCCCCAAGAGGTCCCAAGATGGCCCCAAGATGGCCCCAAGAGGCCCCCAAGAGGCCCCCCAGGAGGCCCCCAAGAGACACCCAAGAGGCCCCGAGAGACCCCCCAGAGGCACCCAAGATGTTCCAAGAGGCCTCGGCGAGAATGCCAATTCATTGATTTTACGAAGGTTTTAGCCACATGTTGGCCTCTGGGGGGGGGCACTGATTAAGATGACTCCAAGAGCGCCTGGGAGAGCCCCAAATGCCCTCCAAGATGGCTCAAGATATCCCAAGATGTCTCATAATGGCTTCCTCTGTGTGATGCCCGCTTCCCTGATCGGGGCAATTCTTTTGGGCATCGTTTCTGGATGGGCTGGTGGGGATTCGCGAACGGTGGCGGATACATTGGAAAAGGAAGTCTCACACGCAGAACGCCCCGTCTGGCTGACGGACACGTCTGGTGGTGCGACACGGAGGAGTACGCGAGTGGGAGGCCGAGGGGCCAGGTGCCAGGGAAGGGAGGGCAGATATACGGGGAGGGCGGAGGGTATGGGCGAGGGGTATGTGTGGGCATGGGCGTGTCATGCATTCGCAGGGGGCGGGGCGGGCGTGGGGAGGGGGGCGGCACGGAGCGGGGAGCCGCAGGGAGGGGCGCGAGGAGCCGGCGAGGGGGCGATGAACGGTAGAGGGCTCCGGCCTGCAGCCCGAGGTCTGCAACTGGTTTGTGCATGCTTTTCGGCTTGTCTGCAAGTGTTCTAGCGCTGAAGAAGGAACCCTTTTCGTTGGGGAGGGCCTCAGTCTGCCTCAGGTTTTCCTGAGGTCTTCCATTGGAAATCGAGGTTGAACTCATGGGAGAAAGGGGCCTCGTTCCTTATTGAATCGCTTCGCTCATTCCGCCGGCCCGTGATGTGGCATCGCTGGTTTTTGTCTGTGTGTTCGTTGCCCATGTTGCGCTCTTGGGGGCGGGTGTCGTTCGGACGCGTTGCGTGGGGAGTTTTGATGGTGAAGCAGTTCCCTGGGGGTCGTCTCTCGATGGGGCGAAATAGAGTCGTCGTCAAGATGCTTCTTTGGGGGGCCTCTTGGGGTCTGTTGAGAGGCCGTTCGGGGGCGCCTGGGAGACATGTTTGAAGCCTTCTGGGGCTTCTTTTGGGCCTCCTGGGAGTCTCCTGGGGCCTCTTGGCGACATCTTGGGGCCTCTTGGAGGCCTCTTGGGGCCTCTTTGGGACCTCCTGGGCGCCTTCTGGGACGGAGGGCTCCATTTTTGAGTTCTCGGTATCCCTCCTGAGTCCCTCTTGGGCCCGTCTTGGGGCCTCTTGGTCCGTCTTGGGCGGCACTTGGGCCGTCTTGAGGGCTCTCTTGGGTCGTTTCGGCGCCGTCTTGGGAGCTTCGTGGGCCGTCTTGGAGCGGTCTTGGGGGCCTCTTGGGCCGTCTTGGAGCGTCCGGAAGCCGAAAAAGCCAGAACACAAAAAACATAGAAAAAACAAATGAAAATCAACGATTTTGGCCTCTTGGGGCTCTCTTCGGAGGCCTCTTGGAAGGCTCTTGGGGCGTCTTGGAGGCCTCTTGGGCTGTCTTGGGGGCCTTTTGGGCCGTCTTGGGGTCATCTTCGGCGTCTTCGAGCGCTCTTTGGGCGTCTCGGGGGCCTCTTGGGCAGTCTTGGGGGCCTCTTGGGGCACTCTGAGCGCGCTCTGGGGAGCCTGAGAGGCCGCACCCAGAAGGAAAACCATCTCTGAGTAGACTTGGTCGGGCGGCGGTCGGGCGGCGGTCGGGCGGCGACCGGGCGGCGACCGGGCGTTGGTCGGGGTACTTTTCGCCGGGGGACCCCCAGGGGCCGCCCCGCGCGCGCGAACTAGAAATACTGTTAATACTGTTAACCAGTTACCGGAGATCTTAGCACGCCCTGGCCCGTTGGGCCGGCGAATTTAGGGTTCCTTAGGTCAACGCCTCGACTGTTTCTGCTTCTTCCAGTGCCCAGGGAGGGCGCCTGGCCCCTCGAAGCTGGTGGCAGCCCATGGCCGCCCCCCTAGCGCCGTCGAGCCGCAGCGCCACCTGCACTGCCTTCGACGCTCGTGGGCCTCAGCTCGACCTTTTTCCGGGCCCCTCCTGCCCCTCCTCCTCCATCTTTCCCCTCCCCTATCTTGTCCAGAGAAGGAGGAGGAGGAGGAGGAGGAGGAGGAGGAGGAGGAGGAGGAGGAGGGGGAGGGGGAGGGGGAGGGGGAGTGGGAGAGCTAGCGCCTGTCTTGTCCAACTGCTCAAAATCCTCTGAGCTTGCATGTGCCCAGCCCCCCTCCACCTGGCTGCAGCCCCCTGCACTCAGCGAGCCTCTCCGGCAGATGCGGTGGAGAGTCCCCTGAGCCCTCCCCACCTCCACCCCTCCCCTGAGGACGACTTTCCTGAGAAGGCGTTTCCCCACGGCCACAGCGTGGCCGGCCACCCGCTTCGTGTCCCTGCCAGCCTCCCGCAGGGCCCCCGTGCCCCCGACCTCGCCACTCTGCCGCAATTTTTGTGTGCCGCAGTAGCCTGGACACAGTCCTTCAGCAACTGTGGCCAGGCTGTCCCCGTGTGGGGTGAGTCAGTGTGGATTCGGGTTGACCGCTAGGTCTTGGGTCTCGGGTGGCTCTCCGAGGACGTCTCGGGCGACCGTGGCTTCCAGGGTCCCAGAAAGGCGCGCTGGCAGACCGTGCGGTGAGGTCGTTGGGGATTCCGAGGTCACCGCACGGTCTGTCGGCGCACGGTTCTTGGACCCTGAATTGCGTGGAATGCTGCCCATTCGGACGGAGAGGGATCCCCGTGGGATGCGGCCCACGCTGCGCGTGCCTCTCCGTTCCTGTCCTCCAGAGCTGCCCCGATGATCCGCCGCAGATCTGTATTGAGACCGTCAGGCGCAGTGTCGATGACGTGCAGGGCTGGGCCAGAAAGTGACTGCGATGCAAGGGCGACCGCTCGCAATTCGTGGAGTTTTATGTGTTCCAACTGGTCCATCCGGAAACGATCGCCATGCGAGTTACCCTGTTCGGGGAAGTGTAGGAGCATACAGTCGAACGGACAGGTGTGCCAGCCGTCAAGCCGAAGCTCGGAATGAGAATGATTACATATTCAGGAGTAGAACTGCGGAGCCTGCCGTACGCCGTAGGAGGATGCGAATGAGAAAGTGGAGAAGGATGAGGAGGACGTAGTAGGGGCTGGGAGGAGAAGAGAACGAGGAGAACGAGGAGGAGGAGGAGGAGGAGCGGGAGGTCTGGTCTGGTCAGCGTGGCAGTTACTCGCAGGAGGAGAAACAGAGCCAGCCTCCGCCTTCGTCCGCCAGGAACCGGCGATGGGCGCTCGGGCTGTGGCTGCTCCGCAGGACACGAGTGGCGGGCAGGTCCCTTCCTCCCCCCATCGTTACCCTTCTAAGGGGCAACTTCACGGGGGGATCGGCTGAGAGGGGAACGCATCCACCTTCATTCACCCCCTCGTCGCCGATCGGGGCCTGATAGCCCACCCCGCCCAGGAACGTGCGGTTTGGCCATCGGGGGCACATGGCCGATCTGCCGGCGATGTGCCGCCGACTCAATTCGCCGTTTCTCCCCTTGAACAGGTCCCCCCCATCGTTGCTAGTCGTACATTCCCTGGGGTGGCGAGGAGGAGGACCAGGACAGTGCCGCCGTTTTGGCAGTTTTGGGTTGATGTCCTGGAGGGCCCGCACAGTCTTCGTCATGACGCGTTTTCATGGTACTGTTGGAGGTCGAAATTGACGAAGGAGGCTGGGACAATGATGACGTCCAGACATAAACAAATTCGTCGGTGTCACTGCGTAGGCAACACCACCAAGGCTGTCGTCCCTGCGAGGAGCCAAGTTGGCCTCGGGGATCGTCGCTTACGAAGACGAGCCGTGTGACCATGACAAAAGGGGGCACGGCGCTGTGGCTCGCGAGACAGATGGAGCCTTACGCTTATGCTACGGCTGCCCTTTCCCTCGCCAACTGTTCCGTGAATGCGACCACGTCAAGCAGTGGCGAAGCGTCCCGGCGCGCCTATAGCCCCGCCGAACAATGTTCTGAGAACTTTTTGTGGCTCCCACGACATATTCTTAGGACATTTCTGGCTGGGACTGTCTTGTTTAACACATCGGGTTTATGTTGTAAGAACATTGCTTCTGTTATTATAACATTTTTGGGTTCTAAGAACGTTTCGTGGTATGACTATAGGAATGCCGGGACGGTCGATCCCTGCTCAACCATGACGACCATGAAGGCCACATATATCATCACACCGAAACCAGCGAGGCAGGCGATGTCAACGCAGGTAGTCATGAAGAAGCCGGTTGGAAACGACGAAACGTGCTACTCACATACATGTATTTGTTATATCGAAGACGCCTACGGCGAAACACCGCCGCCACCAGCGTGTTGGAAATGCCCATGCGGCCAAATTTTGGGCCGACGTTTGGCAAAGCTACTGGAATATTGTGGAACCCCTGGGGGGGGAGCACTTGGGAAAGGAAGGGGAAGGGGGAGGAGAGGGAGGAGAAAGAGGACGAGGAGGAGGAGGAGGTGGAGGAGGAGGAGGAGGAGGAGGAGGAAACGGAGGAAGATGAATACGGATAGGAGGCCAATTGGGGCCCTCTTGGGGCATCCTCCAGGCTTCCTGGGGGCTTCCTCGGAGCCTCTTGAGGGTCTTTGGGGGCATCTTGAAGGCCTCCTGGGGCCTCTTTCGTGGGCCTCTCGGGGCCTCTAAGGGGCCTCTTGGCCTTCGGAGGCCGTCTTGAGGTCCACTGTGGGCGGTCGTGCGCTCTTCTGTGGGCGTTTTAAGGGCTGTCTGGAAGTCTATGGAGCCGTCTTGGGGGCCTCTTGGGCCGGTTTGGGTTTTGCTTGGGCCGTCTTTCGGGCCTCTCGGGGTCCTCTTGGGCAGTCTAGGGCCGATATCGGGAGCCTATGGGACCGCCTAGGAAGCCCGAAAAGGCAAGGCAGCCAAAATCACTGCAACAATCTACGGATGATCGATGGCTCTGTCAACCTAGACAAGGGTCCTCTCGGAGCCCTCTTGGGGCGTCTTGGGGGCTTCTTGGGCCGTTTGGAGGACACCTTGGGCCGTCTTGGGGCCATCTGGGCCGTTTTAGAGGTGTCTTGGGACCGTCTTGGAGGCCATTTTGGGCCACCTTGGCCGTCTTGGAGGTATCTTTGGGGTCATCTTGGCCGTCTTGGGACATTCGTTTTTGTGGACGTTGGCATTCTTTGCGCGGCTTTCCGGCTGGCTGGCGTGACCGTCGTGACCACCCGAGACCTCATTGGGAATTGTCAACAGGGACCAGAACAATTTACAAGTTTTGCAACCTGTGGCAAGCCAGCAGGGGGTGGCAGATCGAAGACGCTTACGGCGAAGCACAACCGAGAAGCGCCTCTGTGGCCAAACGTTTGGCGAGAGTTTGGCCATGCTATCGGACTACGTGTTCGCCTAACCTCTCTGGAAATCTTCGGATAACACTTGGGCGACGATGAGGGGGAGGATCAGGAGATGGAGAAGGAGGAGGATGAGGAGGAGGACAGTATTTGTAAGTCCTCGGCGATCACGGGCGTGACTGGGAGGGGGAGGCGGGGCCGGTCGGTGTCGATTCGCGCCAGCGCCATTTAGGAACGCCTGGGCGTGACCAGCGAAAGTTCGGATACCAGATACCTATGGAGTTGCTAGGGCCCATCGCCGATCTGTTGGCGGTGCACGGCCGACTCGAGAAGGCCTTCTCAGAAGGCGGCGGGACTTCTCAGAGGCCCTCGCGCCTTCTGATAGGCTGCTCTGGTTCTCGGGGAAGGCTTAGAAGGCGTCTCGGCAGGTCGGGGGACTTCCGAGCCTTCTGCGAAGGCCTTCTCCTTCGCACTTCCCCCCTCGCTCGCCGCCGACCCTCACCTGGCCCCCTCACCGGGCGTCCAGCGAGTCGCACAAGTGGAGCCCTTGGCAGACAGGCTGCAAAGGGAACTGCGGGATCGATGCGCTCGTCCCGCGTTGCGCTCCCAGGGCTCATGTCGACTCGTCGACTTGATTGGCTTGTATGTCGATCGATTCCGACGCCGATTCGATTCGTTTTCGGATTCCGATTTGGAGTCCAGTTTCTGAATGGAGGCCTTGCTAGGCTGCCGATTCCGCCGATTTGACTTCTCCCGACTTGGCCTCCGATGTCCGCCGATCCGATGCATTTCGATTGCCGCTCCAGCTTATCGTTTCGACACTGGGCTCTTCTGCGCCCACGTGCCACTGAGATCCGACGGCGCGAACACAATCATTCATCGTAATTAAGCAAGGACGACCGGAGCCCTAGACCCAGATCGATCCGTGAGCGTCTTGGGGCCCGAGAGCAAGCGAAATCTCGGAGGACGCGCGGTGGGGGGGGCGATGAATGGGGGGGGGGGGGGCAGCGTGGGCTGCAGGAGAGGGGCCCTCAGGGGCCCCCGAAGGGCCCCGTCAGGGCCAGGGCCCAGAAGGGGCCTCGAGGGCCCGAACAGGGCGCCCTTCCTCCCCCCCCATGAAGCAGGAGCGAAAGAAGGACGTACATGTACATGAATCCACGCTGGTTTCGAGAGCACGCATTGCGCAAATGTTCGTACCACGCGGCCGGTCTCGCGAATCGAGGGGCCGTGTTCATGCACATAGCTGGGCGCGTACGTCCTTTGTGGGCTCCCTAATGAAGAGCGAGGAGGCCCCACGATCCGTGAGCGTCCCGGGGCCCCGAAGCCGGGCGAAAAGTCGCCCAGCTCGGCAAGAGACACGGAGGCGCCGGGAGCGCCGGGGCCGCCCTCGCCCCGAGAGGCGCCCGCCCCCTGCGGGCTCCCCCTCTCGTCGGGGTGCTGCCAGAAGTGCCCCTGGCCCACGGGGCCCCCAGCTTTGCGCTCCGGGGCCCCTCCTTCTCCTCCTCTTCCTCCTCCTGACTCCCCCTCCCCCTCCTCCTCCCCCTCCTCCTCCTCCTCCTCCTCCTCCTCCTCCTCGTCGTCCTCGTCGTCCTCGCTGTCCTCATCGTCGTCCTCGTCGTCGTCCTCGTTGTTGTCCTCGTCGTAAATGTCGTCGCTCATGTCGTCTGTCGTCCTCGTCCTCGTGAGGGGTGCTCTGGAGGCCGTCGGGGCCACCCCGAGAACCCCATGGGCACCCTGGCCCACGGGCCCCCCAGCTTTGCGCTCCGGGCCCCTCGTGAGGGGTGCTCTGGAGGCCGTCTGGGCCTTTGTGGGCCTCGGAAACGGCAGGGCCGTTTTTCCATCGTGTCCAAAGAAATGTCCCTTGAAAATGGAAACGGCAAAAAAACGGCGACCCGAAACGGCAAAAAAACGGCTCCAGGCTTGGAACCGGAGCCGGAACCGGTCAAACAACGGCGACGGAGCCGGCAAAACCACGGCGTCGGAACCGGCAGCAAAAACGGCAAAACGGAACCCGTAAAAAAACGGCTCTGTCGTTTCCAGGGCCCACTGAGGTCGGGAGACTCTCCATGGGGGGGGATCCCATTGGGGGGCAGGAGGGGATCCCCCCATGGGATCCCCTCCTGCCCCCCATTGGGATCCCCAGGGGATCCTATGGGATCCCCCCCCCCCGGGATCCTATCCCCCCATGGGATCCCCCCCCATGAAGAGTCTCCCGATAAGGTCTGGGCCACCCCGAGAATCCCATGGGCACCCTGGGCCAGGGGCGCTTCTGGCAGCGCCCGACCCTCCGCCAGCCCGCGGCGGAGGATGCCCCCAGCTTTGCGCTCCAGGGCCCCTCCTCCCCCTCCTCCTCCTCCTCCTCCTCCTCGTCGTCCTCCTCCTCCTCCTCCTCCTCCTCCTCCTCCTCCTCCTCCTCCTCCTCCTCCTCCTCCTCCTCCTCCTCCATGGGCCAGGGGCGCTTCTGGCAGCGCCCGGCCCTCCGCGCCAGCCCGCGGCGGAGGATGCGCGCCGAGCGGGCGGCGCCCGACACGATCAGCTGCAACAGCGCCGCGAGCGCCTGCGAGAGGCCCTGCGCGGCGCGGCGTGGCACCCACGTCGGGGTCCTGCACTGGGGCGCCGCAGAACTCGGGAGGGGGAAAGCACCCAGACACACATGATCCCAGTGCGACCCTACCTGGGAGTTGGAGCCCCTAGTCAGAGTCAGAGCTGAGCGAAAGCATCAGCAGCATCAGCAGTCAGAGTCAGAGCTGAGTCAGGAAGCAGCATCAGCAGTCAGAGTCAAGCTGAGCGAAAGCTAAGGCTAAAGCTACAGCTCCCAGGGGACTGGGGGAACCGCGGGGCGGATCCTGGGGGAACCGCCCGGGGCGAGTTGCACTGCCCGGCCCTTTAAGCACACAGGGGGCGGAAAAGAGGGGGGTGATGACTAGGGGGGGGTGGATATCATGGCGTGGGGCATGAGATCTCCCCAGATTTCGTGGCGCCTCTTCTTGTTTCGTTACGCCCCTGGCCCCCCCGCTGGGCCGCGCACATGCCGCCGGTCATGATTTGCACACCCCCCTCTTGGACCCCCCCCTCTTGGCCGCTCCCGATAACTCGGGAGGGGGAAAGCACCCAGACACAAATGATCGTCGATTCCCAGGAAGCCCAGGGAAATACGGGAGGTGGGGGGGGGACGGCGACGATCAGGGAATTATGATCAAGCATGGGGAATGCGGGGAGTTGTGTCTGTTTAATGGCGTGTCCCTGGGCCCCTTCAGTGACCCAGAACCCCTCGCATCGTGCAAAAATCAACGCGGTAGGTTGTTTGGCTATTTTCGGCCTCCGGGAGTCCCTTGCTGGGCCTCGGGGCCGTCAAAAGAGGACCCAGGAGGAACCACCGGTCCAGGGGAAGGGATCCAGACTGCTGGGGGTCGACGTTGTGAAAAAATCACGATCTTCGGGGGTCTGGAAATGGGGGGGCGATAGATTTTAGGGGGGGGCGGGGACTGCAGAAACGGAGCCCTGCAGGGCCTCTAAAGGGGCCTTTGAGGGCCCAGAAGGGGGCCTCCAGGGCCCGAAGAGCACCGTTCTTCCCTCATCAAGAGACGCCCAAGAGGGGATGAAGGGGGGAGGAGGGGGGAGTCCCTCCTCCTCCTCCTCCTCCTCCTTCCCCAACTGCAGCGGGAGCAGGGAGTAGAGGTGGGGCTTCCCTCGTGCGAGTACGGGGCCGCCTGCCACCGCTCTTTGAGGGGGTAGAGCGGGGCAGGGTCGGACTCCTCCTACTGGTCGTCAACCTCCTCCTCTTCTCTTCGTCCTCCTCCTCATCCTCCTGCTCCTCCTCCGCCTCCTCCTCGGATCTCGAAGCTGCGGACTGTGTCGCCACGGATGGCCGAAGCGAAGCCCTCGAATCCCTTTCTCTTGGCGCTGCCGGTGGGTTGGGGCAGAAGCAAACCAAGAGGTAAAGAGAGAAAGAGAAGGGCCGACCGAACGGCGGACACGGAGGAGGAGGAGGAGGAGGAGGAGGAGGAGGAGGAGGAGGAGAGGAATAGGACGGGCTGTGGGCGCCTGGCTGCGGCAAAGGTGGCGGGCAAGCCAGGAGGGGGAAGAGGAGGAGGAGGAGGAGGCGGAGATCAGGAGGAGGAGGAGGAGGAGGAGGGGGAGGAGGAGGAGGAGGAGGAAAGGACGCCCCCCCCCGGGACCCCCACCCCCTGGGGAGGAGGACCGGAGGAGGACTGGCGTGGGAGAGGGGAGGGAAGGGGGAGGAGGACCCCCAGGGGCGGATGCGTATTTGATTCCCTTCCCGGCCCCCCCTGGGACTCCTCCCTACCTGGGGAGGGGGACCAGAGGAGGACCGGCGCGCTGGAGGTGGACCAGCGTGGGAGAGGAGGACCCCCAGAGGCGATGCGAATCTGACCTCCCCCCCTTGACCCCCCCACGCTGGGGAAGGGACAAAGGGAAAGGGTATCCTTTTGACATGACTACGACGTGGGTCGATTTCCCTCAATCCCCGGACTCCCCCCCCCGACGACGGGAGAGTGCTCTCTCAGAGACCACCGACGGGGAAGGATAAACAGAAGGCGCTCCGTCGAAGGAACCAGCCAGACACCCCACACACGCCGACAGGGTCGGCGGATTGTCGAATTCCCGGATCCCAATCTGCTTCAAGCGCCTTTCGATTTCAAGAATCGATATGTTTGTGCAGTGCTTCGTTCTACTCTGGGAGGGCCTGAACTCAATATGCTTTGCCTATACGACCACCCTTCGGGTGATAAGGAGGTTCGGGGGGGAGGAACCAACGTCTCACTGGATCGTTCTCACTATCGATCTCACTATCGGTCTCGCTCGATCGATCTCACCCGATCGATCTCACTATCGAATTCATAATCGATCCCACATTCGGCCTCGCTATCGATCTCACAGTCGATCTCACAAGCACGCCATCACCATCAACAACAACATCGTCGTCATCAACATACTCATCGGGGCACCATCATCATCATAATCACCTCATCACCATCATCACCATCATCATCGTCATCACCACCATCATCATCACCATTTGGAAACCATCATCGGCACCATCATCATCAGCAACATCATCATCCGCGGGACACCATCATCTTCATTATCGGAACACCACCATCGTCATCATCATCATATCTGCATCATCATCATGGACAACATCATCAACATCATCATCATCGGGGCGCCAACATCATCAACAGCAGCTTCATCATCCTCATCATCATCATCATCGGGACACCATCATCACCGTCACCATCAGGACACCCTCATCATCATCAACTACAGCATCATCACCACCATTGGGCCACCACTATCAAAATCATCATCCTCATCGTCATCATCATCATCATCATCACCGGACACCATCATTGTCATCATCATCAACATCATCCTCATCGGGACACCATCATCACCACCATCATCATCAACAACATCATCTCCAACCTCATCATCACAATGACACCATCATCACCATCAGCAGAAACAGCATCATCATCCCATCCTCATATTTCCATCATCACCATCATCAGGATCGTCGACACCATCATCATCATCATCATCATCATCTTCATCGGGACACCATCATCATCATCGGGACACCATCATCATCAACATCTTCAACATCATCATCACCATCATCATCCTCATCATCATTATCATCATCACTGGGACACCATCATCATCATCACCACCATCACCATCATCATCATCATCACCATCATCATCAACATCATCGACATCATCATCACCATCATCACCATCATCAAAATCATCATCATCATCATCATCATCATCATCATCATCATCATCATCATCATCATCATCATCATCATCATCATCATCATCATCATCATTATCACCGGCGGAACACCGGCGGGACACCGCGGGCCACCGGCCCCCCGGAGAGGAATCATTTGGTCCGGCCGCGATGGCGGGCGGGACACCAGCGGGACACCGCGGGCCACCGGCCCCTGGAGAGGAACCATGTGGTCCGGCCGCGCCTCAGCCGGAGGAGACTTTCTTCTCGCCCGCACGCGCGGCACGCACGAACACGAAACCGAAATCGATTTCCCGGTAGGGGGACTCTCCGTTCCACTTCGATCTCACCCCCTCACCTCCGATCCGCCTTCCTACTTTATGCTTTTACCTACTTCTTCCGACCGACATGTAATTGCCTTTCCCCGTTCCCCCTCTGCTTGTTCCTTTCCGACCCTCCGCCTCCCCTTTCCCCCTCGGGGCTTGACGGCGCTTCGTCAGTCGACTTGCGGGGAATGCCTGTGCGAGTCGATGCCTTTCGACGCACACCTTGATGAACTGGGGGGAGCCAGAAAACTCCAGAGAAATCTGAATAAATCCTTGAGGATCCATCGAGAGTCGAGGGTGAACAGAAGTCGTTCAGCCCTTGACCATCCTTCCTTCGCAGCCTTTCTCCTCTTCCGGCGATGTGGTTAGTTCACGACCGCGTGGCATTCGGGGCCCCCTAAACGGTGTGTTTGAGTGTGTTGACCACACCGCGTGGTGAGTCAGTTGGGATTCGGGGTTACCCCACGGTTTTGGGACTCGGGCCGTTCTCCGAGGACGCCTCGGGCGACCGGGGCCTCCAGGGTCCCAAACATTGCGGTGACGGGCCGCGCGGTGGTGTCGTTGGGGATTCCGAGGTCCCCACGTGGTCCGTCACCGCACGGTCTTGAGGCCCCGAAGGCATGCGGGGGGAGGCGCCGGCACAAGCTGGAAACGGGCTTATGCCGAATGCGCTCCAGTGGAGGCCGTGCAAATCTGGGCCAGGGGCAGGCGACGACGAGGAAAGCAGAGACACGCAGCGGCCAAGCACGCGCGCAGGTTCCTCCGCAGCCGACCCGATCACAGGGCGGTCCTGGCGCGATCTTTAAGGGGCCTATGCTTCATCCTCTCGCGATAACTTCCCTTACCTCCCAGAGGGGGGTCGGAGTAGATGGGTTCTCTCCATGCCGACGTCGCCGATGCACCGCCGTCGTCGCCGATGCATTGTCGATGCATCGGTGATACATCGGTGAAAAGCGCGATTCTCTAACCCCATCTACTCCCGCCCAATCTGGGAGGCCTCCATTAGCAGACGAAGGAGTGCAGGGGGGAGGGGGCTGGTGACGTCACCGTTCACGCCGGCGCCGTCTGGGAATTAGCTGTCCCTTGCCAGTCCCAGACAGGCGCCAGCGCCTATCATGACGTTACCAGGGGCGGGTGGCGTCCCGTGAAACGGGCGTCATCGCAAATCGTTGTAATCGGTCGTCGTCATCGTCATCGTCGTCATCGTCGTCGTCGTCGTCGTCGTCGTCGTCGTCCCCGCCGCTCCGTTCCTTCCCGTCCTCCCTCTGGCGTTCTCGCTCCAGCGCGGCCCCTTCTGCGCGGCGGCGTATGCCGCGCGCCGCTTCCCACGCCCCCCGCCGCCGGCCAGGGGGCAGCAGTGGCTGCTGGCGGTCGCGCTGCTGCCAGAGATGCGCCTGCGCAGGACCGGGCCTGGTCAGGCTCGGACGGAGTCGGATCGGGGGCGTCCATTAGGGGCAGCGCTAGGGGGGGGACAGGCTCGAGGCTCGAGAGCAACGAGGGGTTCGAGGTTCGAGGGCTGCGGGCGTATGCGTCGTGTCTCGACGGCACTCCAGCCTCGGGGTGCTTCCCAGCGGCTGCGCCCCGCCCAGAGCGCTCTGGGGGTGCCCAGACAGATTGTCCCGCATGGCCACAGGAGGGCCGAGTTAGAACCCGGAAGCCACGGGGCCAGGTTCGTGTGGGCTAAGCCCACGGGGGTAACGCATCGACCCCAATCGCCCTTTGATCGGCGATAAGGGGGCCCGAGGGCCCGCCCCGCCCAGGAGCATGCGGATTCCCCATCGGGGGTCTGTCGCCGGTCTATCGGCGAGGTATCGCCGATTCCAGCCCGATGTTTCCCCTCCTGAGCTGGTCACCGCCTACGTTGCCCTGCAGTCCAGGAAGGGGGGTGAGGGCTAATCCATCGCCAGATGATGTTTACGTCCACCGCTCCCCGGGTCCCCTGGCACGACCCCGCGGCAGCGGAAATGGGCGCCTTCTGTCGGAGAGACGAGAGGCGTGTGGCCACCATGGCTGAGGCCATGGGGTCTTCCATACTTTCTGTGTCATGGCCTCTCTTCTCTTGCCACGGCGCCTTCCGGCGTCCCCTCTTCCGCGCACTAGCTTGGGGCCGTGATGAGCTGACATCCCCCCTTCCTGGCCCGCTTCGCCGGTGCAGTCGATCGAGCTGATGACGGAATGACCGAATCAGGAGGAGGAGGAGGAGGAGGAGGAGGAGGAGGAGGAGGAGGAGGAGGAGGAGGAGGAGGAGGAGGAGGAGGTGGGGGACGCGCGCATGTGCCTCCTCCTCCTCCTCCTTCTCCTCTTCCTCCTCCTCCCCCCCTCTTCCCCCTCCTCCTTCCCTGGCGGTTCAGGAAGAGGGGGCCCCTTGGCTCCGCAGGCGGGGGCATGGTGACCCGGGGCCTGTGGGAAAGTTTCGGAGAGGGCTGCTTCAGCCCCCGTTCGGGGGCCCCCAAACGGGGTCGTGACCACACCGTGTGGTGAGTCGGTGGGGATTCGGGGTCACCACGCGGTTTTGGGACTTGGGTCGTTCTCCGAGGATGTCTCGGGCGATTGGAGCCTCCAGGGTCCCAAAACCGTGTGGTGACGGACCGTGCGGCGAGGTCTCTTGGGGTTCCGAGGTCACCGCACGGTCTGTCACCGCACGGTCTTGGGATCAGCCATGCCCCCGCTCAGGGTCGGCGGCGAGCCCGTGGGGGAAGGGCGAGGGGGCGGGCCTGCTCAGAAGGTTCGGGAAGGCCCCCAGCCTTCTGAGAGGTGTTCGAAGCCTTCCCCGAAGACACGGACAACTCTTTCAGAAGGCCGGAAGGCTTCTGAGAAGCCCCGCCGCCTTCTGAGAAGGCCTTCACCTTCTCACTTCCCCCCTCTTCGCTCGCCGCCGATAGGGGGCCCTGAGTCGGCCATGCGCCACCCTTCTCGGCGCGAGGATGCTCGCGCTTCTGCGCCCCCGCGGCGCAGGCAGCAGGGCTGCGGCCCGTGGTGCGGGCCACAGGGGTGTCGTTTTTGTTCCATGATCGCGTCGCGATGGCGTGAAGGTAGCAGCGCGTAGCGAAGCGCGAGATCACAGGAGCGACGGAAGAAAGCGTGGTGGGGTTGGCTGGGGATCTGGTGTAGCCCAGCTGTGGTTCCCGCGATCAGGAAGGAGGGGGTGGGGCGATTTTCGAGGCTCTGGACTCGGCATGTTTTGTTTGGTATGTCTGTGTTGCCTTCGGGGTCCGTCTTCGGACCCTGGGACCGTCAAGAACGGATCCAGGGCGAACAATTGCACCAGTTGGACCCGGGAGGGTTCGGGGACAGATTTTGACCGGATTTGCCCTTATTCACTCGTCTTGACAGATTTTCTGGGGGCCCCTGCAGCTCAGACCCTCTGGCCCCCTCCGCAAAACTCGGGGGTGGACAGAACCCCCAACAGTGACACGTCGATTAGAGAATTGTCCGTTTTCGGTTTTCGAGAGGGCACCGTGGCCGTTATTTTCCAGGCTTGCGCCCGCCAGGTTTGGGCCTCAGGTCGTTTTCACTAAACCACGTTTTACTAAAGGGAGGTCTGTCCATCCCCGAAAAACAGGGCCGTCTTCACCGACACTGGCGCGCAGGCAGCCCGCGTAGGGTCGCGCGTAGGCGCCCTCGTTTCCAATGTGGTGTGCCGCGCTGGCGGCCTGCGTAAGCCACCGCGTAAGGTTGCTATGGCACCCTACCCTCGCCGATCAACGATTCCTCCTCCTCCTCCTCCTTTTCCTCCTCCTCCTCCTCCTCCTCCTCCTCCTCCCCCTCCTCCCCCTCCTCCTCCTCCTCCTCCTCCTCCTCCTCCTCCTCCTCCTCCTCCTCCTCCTCCTCTCTCCCTCCTCCTCCTGCTCATCCTCCTCCTCCTCCCCCTCCTCCTGCGACTCGATGGGCGGCGGGGTGGTATTCGGAATTCACCCCACCAGCCCATCCAGAAGCGATGCCCAGACGAGCTGCCCTGATGGGTGATTCGGAGGAGGATGCAGTGGAGTGAAGGGTTGTGTAAGACGTCGTACCTCAAGAGGGGGAGGATGGATGAGGATTCGGAGGAGGAGCAAGAGGAGGAGGAGGAGGAGGAGGAGGAGGAGGAGGAGGAGGAGGAGGAGGAGGAGGAGTTGGAGGAGGAGGAGGAGGAGGAGGAGAAGGAGGAGGAGGAGGAGCAGTCCTCTCTTACGTTGCTCTGCTTTTTATTCAATCGCTTCGCTCATTCCGCCTGCCCATATTGCCTCGCCGCTTGGGGGCCGAGTTGTGGTCTCTTGGGGGCCTTTGGGAGGCAGTTTTGAGGCCTCTTGGGGGTCGTGTTGGGGGCTCTTAGAGCCTTTCGGGGGCCTCTTGGGGCTTATTGGGGTGCCTAGTGGGAGCCCCTTGGGGCCACTTGGGGGCCCCTTGGGGCCTTCTGAGGGCCTCTTGGGGCTGAGGGCTGGACGTTTCGGATCGGGGTCTCCGTCTTGGGCCTCTCTTGGGGCCATTTCGGGGCCCTCTTGGGCCATCTTGGGCGCTTCTTGGGCTGTCCTCGGGCCATCTTGGGCCGTCTTGGGGCCCTCTTGGAGGCCTCTTGGGCAGTTTTGGGGCGGCCTTGGGGGCCTCTTGGGCCGTCTGGGAGCGTCGGATAGCCGAGAAGACAAGAAACGTTGCTCATGCGAAGAATGCACGTTTTCCGAAAGGGAATGCGGCGATGTTTGGTTGTTGGGGCCCTTTTGGAGAGCCTCTTGAGACTCTTGGGGCTTTCTCGCGGCCTCTGGAGCCATCTGGAGACCATCTCGAGCGTCTTGGAGCGATCTCTCGGCGACTCGGGGCCTCTTGGGCCGTGTCGGGGGCGTCCCGGCGCCCTCTTGGCGCGCTCACGGAGCGCCCCTGGGTAGTCGGCCGGGCACCAGCCGGGCATCGCCTGGGGTACTTTTCGTCCGGCGGTCCCCACTGGCCGCCACGCGCGCGCGTACTAGAAAGATTGTTCGCTTGTTGATGGAGGTATCAGTACGCATTAGGCCCCGTTGGGCCTGCGAATTGTCAGTGATACAGGCTATATTGTCACTTGGAGGAGGAGATTGGGGGCGGGGGCTTGCTCACAGCAGGCCGCAGTTGCACATCTTGCTCCGTTGAATATGAAAGCGCACGCAGTTCATGTCAGGCCCCCCTACCAGAAGGCGTGGCCCCATAACATAGAGCCATCTCGAGCGTAAACAGCATCACAGTCGCCAGTCCTCTCTTACGCTGCTCTGATCTTTAATTGACCATTGCTCCAGCCTATACTGTTATTTGGATTTTGGGGGGGATTGGGCTGGGGCGATCGGGGGGATCGGGGACAGGTGTTTGCTCACACCGGGCCGCAGTGGTTCATCTTGCTTCGCTGTGTTAAGCGTACACATTTGATCTCGGACCCCTTTGCCATAGGGCTTGGCCCCATAACATAGAGGTATCGAGGTATCTCAAGCATAAACAGCCACCGCCATATCCGTACGTCTAAGCTAGCCAGACCAGTTATCCATAACTACCTATGCTGATACTTTTAACTCGCACTGCCAAGGCCAGCTAGCACCTCCTGGCAAACTTGCAAATGCTTTAGTGCCAAACCAAGCCAGCACTCAGCATGCTAGCACAGCGCACCTCATCCCAACCTCAGTTTCAGGACTTCTTAGTGCAGCCCCAGCCTCCTACGATCCACTGCCACCGGCCAGGCAGAGCCGGCCCAGCAGCGTGATATTGATGGGGAGTTGGCGGTGTGCGATGTTCTGATTACTTTGCCTGACTACTGGGGGAGGGAGGTTGCGGGCATTTATTGAGGGAGCGAGGGTGAACGGCTGGGCGACCAGCTGCTGTATTTCAGCATGGGTATCAGCCGACCTGAAAACGATTGCAAGCACTTAGCTTCCTCTCAGCACCCCCAAAGGTTTCTCTTTCACACTTTTGTTCTGTGCTGTCTCGTTACATTCCAGCACTTCAATACCCAGCCACCGCCGTCTCGTACATCTACGCCAGACCTGCTCAACCAAGCCTATGCTGGTTCTTTCAACTAGCACTGCCAAGGCCAGCCAGTACCGTCTGGCCTGCCTGCAGGGGCTTTCGGTGCCAATCATGCCAGCACAACGACCATGCCAGTATTCGTTCCAGTCCACCTAGCAAGGCCAGCCGGTACAGTTTGGCCAGCCTGCCAGGTTCTCGTGCCTCAGCCAAGGCAACACATCCAGATGCCAGTACTTCCTTACTGTTCGCTCTACGGTGAAGGTGCGTCCCTCCACCCAGGAACCGAAGAGCGGGCCTACTGCTGGCTAGCGGGAGGCCTGCCAAGGTCAGGGGGACATGTTCGCCACATATCTTGCTGTAGAGTTACTCCTTTTGGCGCTTCTCTGAGCTTGAATCCACACCTGCATTTCTCCTTCTCTCTCTTTTTGTCTCTCTTTTCTGTTTCTCTCTTTCTCTCTCTCTCTCTCTTTCTCTACCCCCCTTTTTTCTTTATTTATATCTTGTTCGTTTTGTTTTCTCTCTCTTTCTCTCTCTCTGACTCTCTCTCTCTCTCTTTCTTTATCGTTCTCTCTCTGACTCTCTCGTTCTCTCTCTCTCTCTCTTTCTGTCTGTTCAGCGCTGCTCGCCCTTATCTAAAACTATTAGGGGCTGTGGGGTACCAAAGTTACACCCGGGATGCAGCGTGCTCTTAGAGATGCCACGCGATTATGAATTATTTCTCTCTGCCTCGTCACAGCCTGCTTCCATGCGAATGCGGTGACGGCGGCAGGCGCGCCGGGATCTGGGGCCTGCCACTCGTTCCCACAGCAGCGCTCGCTCGAAGTTCGCTGCGTCGGTTTCCACGAGCAGCTCGAGCGTATTTTGACCTCTCCTCATTCGGCATCCTCTTTAACTTGTGGTTGGTGTTATCACCGTTGTCATTACTTGCCATTCCCGGGTATCTTCCACAGTGGCGGCGGCGAGCGCTTACTCTGCGCCGCGTTCGGCATGTTTCTGCTGCCGTTCTTGTTTGCCCGTCTGTGTCCCCAGCCTTCGCCACCTAGCCTAATGTGCTCGTTTCTGCGGACTCTGTCATTGGGTCTTCGGCGGGGCCACCCATGGGGCCACGAGACGAGTGAGGTGCGCGCCGACATGCGGCGGGTAAACATATGGACCTTGCCACTGGGGCCTTCGGCGAAGTTCCTTAGAGTGCCACCAACGTGTGAGGGAACGACGAAATTTGGCAGGTCACCGCGCGGTCCCTGCCACTGGGGCCTTCGGTGGAGCTCCCAACGGGGGCACCTCGCGTTACGGACATGCGGAAGGCTGAGCAATGACGACGAGGGAGAGGAGGGCGGAGGAGGAATGAGGGGGAGGAAGGAGACGCGCAGCGATGCGGATTCAAATCGAGGACACAACTCACAGGAATGATGGGAGCATGGGAAGAAATTCGGCACAATCGGCTGAGGCGTTGCCGTTTCTGCGAGCGCGGGCAAGGAGGACGACGATTGACGTCTGGCGCCTCGCGGCCAGCAGCGCGCTGAGTTGCAATTCGGCACTTCGTCTGACTGAGGTGTAGCGGATCTTCATCGTCCTTGTGGGAATTTCTGGGGCAATGTTGGAGGCCGTTCGGCAGACAAGACACACTTGCATGTACAAACCTTCGAACGTTTGCAGCACAGTTTTCGAATTCTGGAAATCCGGGCCTTAGCAGCGCGGCCCTTCGGTGTGATCCTTGGGCTTGTGCGATCCCCCGTTTAGTTGGGGGCCTTTTCAGGACCTCTCCTGTGCCCCTTCTTTTGCGCATCGGGCCATCTCGAGTGTATCTAGAGGTTCTTCGGGCTCACCGACCTCCGAAACGCCGATAAAGCCCCGAATCGATTGACATATTGTTTCAATGACGTTTCCCTGGGGCATCCTTGCAAGGGTCTGGGGCCACCTCAAAGCGGTTTGACATCTCCTGTCTGTGGTCGACGTCATGTGGCCCATCATCTTGGGCCAGCGTGGGTCGTTTGGTGCCAGGGGTCGTTGGGTGCCCCCGTGGAGGCAGTCACAGGCCATCTGGGGCCATGCAAGAAGCGTTGTGGGCCATGGCGGATATTCCAAATTCCCCCACCGTTGGCACCAATCCATGCGGAGGTGGTACGGCAGGTTCGCGTCGTGTCGACGGAGCGTCGACCCCGCCGCAGCCGTGCACAGTTTAACGCCGCCAGGGCCCCCCCAATCGGACGATATGGAGCGATCTTGCGATCGAGCGCTGCCGATCGTTCAAGTTTGAACGACCGACGCAGTGTCAGAAACCAACGCCTTGGTCGTGACGACACGCACCTGACGTAGAGGGGGGCAAACCCTCTTTGGGCGGGAAAACCAGTTGTAGGGCTGGCTGGTGGCGACCAAGTGACGGCTGTGGAGGCACCCCTTTCCCTTTGCCTTGTGCGGACCAAACAATGTTGGACCAGTGTGGTTGCTTGCCAGCGCGATTGGTGCGATGCTCTACCTCTCTGACGTGTGCTTCTCTTTTGGCGTCTGGTGTTGCTTGACCTGATCTGGAACGCGTAGCCGTGCTGGCGAGACGTAACTTGATTGCAGAAGCCATCGCCCAGAAGATCTTCGTCGTTCTCTTCCCCTTCCCACTGTGTACTCCGTTTCCTCTCCGTCCATCTCCTTCCCTCTCTTCGTCATCAAACGAAATCCAGTGGGTGTGTTCGCCTATCCCGCCACCGTGCCTGCGATGTGGGTCTTTTGGAACGTCTTGGGGCGTTGGAAGCCCCAAAAAGGGAAACAGCTGAGATCTGCGAACCACATTAGGGAATCTTCGATGCTTGCTTATTGAGGCCCTCTTCGGGGTGGCGTCTTGGTGCTCTCTAGGCCTTTCTATTGGCCGTCTTGGGCGCCTTGGAGTGCTCCTTGTCCGTTTCGGGGGCCTCTTGGACCGTCGTAGGGCTCGCTTGAGATCCCTTGGCCCGTCTTTATTCCCGATGGCCTCAGGGAAAGTCATGCTGGATTCCCTGGAAGTCCAGCGGCGACTCGGCCTCTGAGATATCATTTGCAAACATCGGTCCTGCGGACTGAGGACAGTTCTCAATCCTCAATGTCGAGTTTTACGGGGAAAGGGGGGGAGCAGTACAGGGCATCTCAGGACTTATTGAGGTCCCAACATCGGCAACGTAAAAAGGACTCTTGAAGCCTGGGGACCTGAGGACAGGTCAGCATCGAGACACGGTGGCGAATAGCCTTTCGGAGCAAGCAAAATTTTCGTTGGAGAACGGCCTCGCCATCTACATCATGACAGGCCACGCCCGCCCCCCCCCTTCGCTCGGGCCGCCAGGCGGCCCGTCCCTTCCCAGGGACGCTTCGCCGTTTGCTCATTCGTTCCTTCCCCCTCGGCTCACGAAGCACAGAAGATCCCCTAACCTTAATAACGCGATGAAGACGTGGCCTCACTAGGTTCCCGTCTTCGCATTAGGGATGATAATTCTCGCCGGCTTGGTCTGATACATTTGCAGAAAAATAATACCCTGCCCCTAATGTTTGTTGGCATTCCTGACTTAGTTTCACTTCCAAAGGGTTAGGGGTCCATTTTTAATCTTCTGCCTCTGGCCATCCCTTGCCTTCCTCGACGTTTCGTCTACTTTTCGTCGGAGGTGCAAGCCGGACGGGGTTAGGACGAGGATGAATCCGTTCCAGAGCGTTCCAGAACGCTCTCAGAGCGTTTCGTAACGCTCTGAGAAGGCCGCGGGGCCCACCAATACATCTTCCAGAGCCTCCAGATCTCAGAGATTCTCGATTTATCCCCACCTGAATTCATTATCGTCTTTGCTTCGTCTTAGGGAGGCAGTGGAACCTGGTTTTTCACACCGCTGTAGTTGTCGGGCCCACGGGCGTCTCATGACCCGGACAACACAGATTCCACACTGGTCCTTTCAGCTATACGTGCCCGTCGGTTGATACAAGTATACATATGTTTTTGGACATCTAGATTCCAATCTGTTTTCGGCGCCTTCCTGCTTCAGTGATCGATTGGCTCCCGTCTTCCTTCTCATTCAAGGGGCGGGCGGAGGCCCCGTCTACTTCCAACGCCTTCCTACTTAATGGGTTATACCCACTTCTTTCGACCGACGGGTAAGACTGACTGGTATACCCTCTCAAATCTGTCCTTACCGCCGACTAGCGTCGATTAGCGTCTGTGCTTCGATGAAACAGCGCCGATCTGGAGTCGATTAGCGTCGATGATCTTCGACTTAGCGTCGATTCGCAAGAGCCGACAAGACGGTATGGGAGGCTCCCACGAGTTGCCACCGAAAGGGGCCTTTGGTGCGGACGCGCATTGCGGGATCCCCCAAAATGGCCGGGTGCACAGCGCGACAGCCTCGGCGCTTGCGCGCTCCAGTCCGGCCGCCCCGCGGCCCCCGAAAGCCGTGCACCAGATGTCATTTTCAGTCGAGCATGTCCTTCTACGGGAGGAAGATATCAATCATAGCCCCAAAACAGTATGGGAACGATGCTTCGACTATGTATGCCTAATTATGTTTGCATGTATTTTGTCTGTTTTCGTGCTGTCCTCCAAAAGCCACCTACATGGGGGACATGCCCGACCTGACTGTAGCTCTTGCAGGGTCACTCTTTCACCACCCTCCAAACCACCCCAACCCAACCCGAAGGCTCAGATTTACCCTCGATTTCCAGTTGGGGGGGGTCGGGAAACATCGACAAAAACACATGTGGGACCCTTACCCCCCCAACCCGAAATTCGTGTCTTCGGGTTGGGTTGGGGTGGTCTGGTAGGTAGTCACTCTTGCGTGCGGCTGATCTCTGTGAGGATCAAGCCCAACATCATCACCTACAACGCCGTGGTGTCCGCCTGCGAGAAGGGCCCGCCCGCCCCGGGGCACCGCGGCGAGAGGTGGGGCAGCCCGGGCCCGCTCCGATCCGATTGATCCGGCTCGACATCGAGCGTGGCCAGCCCGATCCGCTTCGAGTCCGATACTCCGAGGACCGATATTCAGAGCGTGAGTTACCTACCCTGCTTTCGCTTCCAGGCAAAACCAAGTCATACCACGCGCCTCCTCGTCAAGCGGCCTGACCAGTACCCCCTAGATATTACGTACCCGATGTCTGCATGGCGTCCTCTGTCGTGCATCCTGGCGCAGCCGACCCGATTCGGTTCTGATTCCGTACCGATGCGGCCCGATCCGCTTCGAGTCCGATACTCCGAGGACCGATATTACGTCCCCGATGTCTGCAGGGCGTCCTCTGTCGTGCATCCTGGCGCAGCCGACCCGATTCGGTTCTGATCCCGTGCCGATGCGGCCCGATCCGCTTCGAGTCCGATAGATACTCCGAGGACCGATATTACGTCCCCGATGTCTGCAGGGCGTCCTCTCTCGAGCATCCTGGCGCAGCCGACCCGATTCGGTTCTGATTCCGTGCCGGTGCGGCCCGATCCGACGCGCGTTCCGGCACGATTCGATGCCCCGGGTTTGGTGCTGACCGAGCCTGCAGCAGAGGTGGAGTAGCGGGAAGGGGGCCCTGAGCCTATCTCCTCCCCGTCTTCTCCGCTCCGTACCATCCCGCTTCGCAGAAGCCGCACGGCGCACGTGGACGTCTGCTGTGCCTATCTGGGTTCGAGTTGGAAGAAGGCGTGGAGGGTTGGGGCTGTCGAAGTGTCTCAGCACGTGCGACCTGCAACGCCATGCGATGCCTGCTCTGGGGCTACGTCAAGGATATCACCCCGTCCCCTCGTCTGCCGCTCTCAGCATCGGCTTGCACTTGAAGAGCAAACTTTTGGAGCTCCAAATAGATTTCTTGGGTCTGCGCTGGGCCCCCCGGCAGCGCTTCCGGCGCCGCATTTGGCGCCTTCCGCGCGCCAGGGAGGGGGGTTTACCGCAGATCACAGATATCCGCGCGGGTTTCCAAAAGTTTATGTTTATGCAGTTGCCTGTTTTTCTAGATACGTTCCCCGAAGGTCCATTCGAGCTCTTGCTCGATCGTGTAACTGCGCGTCCAGAGGTCCGAGGAGGTGTCCGCAAAGCGCGGATCTTCCAGTGACCCGTTGGTGCGTATCGTCTGAGGCCCATGCCCGCCAAGCAACCGAGGCACGCGTCAAGAAAGTATCCCACATGCAGTTCTCCGGGAAGTTACGGCGGCTTGTCCCAGTGCGGACGAATACACGCGCCTGCGCGCCACCACGGCACACATGTCCCGAGCCATCATTACAGTTATTCGTCGGGGAGGGAAGTAAGAAGGAGAGGGTCTTCTTAGAAGGCTCAGTAGGCCTCGGGCCTATCGGAAGTTTTCGGAGCCGTCCCGCATCCGTAAACAGCTTATCAGAAGGCCGGAGTGCTTCTGAGAAACCTCGCGGCTTTTGAGATGGTCTGCCCCTTCTCACTTCTCCCCGGGCTCGCCGCCTGGTTACGCGCGCCGCATTGCAATACACGTTCGGGACACATTTGACCTGTCATACAGCAGCCAGCGGCTGTTGATAGGGCACGCTGGCACGGAGGGTCTGTCATGTCTTGAAGCAGCGAAGATTCCTCCGTCGAGCCGCTGCCGCCTCCTGCCTTTGGAGACGGCGGTGTCGCGAAACGTCGAGCGAAAGTGCGTCCACGCTTGTGGACTGCGTGTTCCCCCAGCTGCTGTGGAAGCTACGGGGGGAACACTTGGCAGGGGCTGTTTGCCTCATGGGGCTGTTTTCGGGTCTTCAAGCCTTCTGGAAGGCATCCCGGGGCCATCTTGGGAGTCTGGGGCCGCATGAGGCGTGAGGTTCTCTTAGGCCGTCTGGTGCCTTCGGAGGCCGTGTTGGGGGCCTCTCTGGGTCGTCTTAGGGTATGTCGGGCCGCATTGGTTCCCTCTTGGGCCGCCTTGGGGTCGTCTTGCGGCTTTCTTGTGGACCTTTTCGGCCGTTTTGGGTTGGTCTTGGAAGCCTCGTTGGCCGTCGTGGGCTCTCTTGAAGACCGGGGATGGGGAAATCGGGACACTACGCTAACACACATAATGAAGCATGAATGATGGTTGTCACTCGATACCCTCTTGCGCGACCTTTTGGAGCCTTCTTGTGACAATTCGGCGACAATTCGGGGGCATCTGGGGCCGTCTTGAGGTCGTCTTGCGTCGCCATCTTGTGGGGGACAGCCCTTGGCGCCTCCTCGAGCTCGCCCTATGAAGCCCCTCTTGCGGCCCTCTCTAGGCCCTCCTCCGATATCTCGTCCCCCCCCCGCCCTCCTCCACATCCTCCTCGTTTCCTTCGTGTGCAAGAGCCATGGCACGCGCGCCACTTGTTATCCCCCCAGAACCCCGAACTTCATTATCCCCCGGATTCATTGTCGGGGGTGCATGGTTAATGCGCAGGTGTCGCACGGTAACCCGGACCTCTTAAGCAGGCCCAGGTCACCTCATCTTCCTCTCGATACCTCGCTTCCGCCTGGAAGCGCTGACGCTTCACAGTCAAATTTAGCTCGGTCACCAGGATGAGCGAGCCTAGGTAGAAAGTAAGGAACCCTTGTCATCCCTTGGTTGCGGGCTTCCTTGACATCGTTACCATCCGTGTGTTTGCGTTCATGGGCCCCCTCTGGCGTTCCACAGGCGCCCGCCACCTTGACTCGTGACACAGGGGTGATTTGGGCAGTAGCATGAGCTCCATGGGTGCCCTTTGGCGCCTTCTAGGCGCCTTGCATTCTTACCCGTGCCCCTACAGTCAAGACGCTGAAATATGGACCGCTTCGGGCTCCAGGGGGCTGGTTTCCGGGTCGCTTCCCCCACCAGATCTAGGTTGTGGCGCCGATTTGAAGCCGAGCTCGCCGTGGTCAGAACAAAATCCTTCGTTCCTTATTCAGCGTTCCTTCTGGGAAGATGGCTGTATGGCCCTTCTGGGCCATGGGTGAAATGCCACGGATGAAGAGCGCGGCCGCGCCGGCAGGCAGCGAGTGGTCGGCGGCGCTGGAGCTCCTCCGCGGAGCGCGCCAGCTGGGCCTGAGGCGATCTCGGCGCGCTGGGCCGGCGGGTGTGTGGGTTGGGGCGGGGGTCGGAGAGGGACAAATCGTTCCAGAGCGTTGCGGGACGCCCACAGAGCGGTCCGGAGTGCTCTGAGAATGCCGCGGCGCCCGATACATCATCATCCAGAAGCGCCGGATCTCTCAGAGATCCTCGATCTGTCCTTGTCCGATGTCGTACTTGTCCTGTCTCCGTCTCAAGTTCACCGAGCGCGTTCCGCTACTCGCAAAGTGCCTACTCGCAAACGTCCGAAACAAAAATACAGTTGCCTCGACGTAATGGGTAGCAAATCCCCCGCGGCGGATCCAGGCCAGTTGCGAGTAGCTACGTTGCGAGTAGTGGAACGCGCTTGTGGCTGGCAAGCCCCCCTCCTGGACGCCTCCCGCTAGGACGCCCCCGAGTGGGGGCGGCGAGCACCTGCCGGGGTCGGGGAGCTGCCGCCGCTGCTGCGGCTGCACCTGCCTCTCGGGGAGCCTGGGGCTCCCCGTGGTCGGGCACTGGCGAAGCGTCCCGGCTTGGCCAAAGGCCCACCGAAGAATGTTCTGGGAACCTTTTTTATGGTTTGCGCGGTACGTGATTTGAACATTTCTGGCTGAGACCGTCGTGGTTTAACACATCAGCTGTATGTTCTTCGAACCTTATGTGTGTTATCGAATGTTCTCTGGTTCGACGAACATGTCGCGGTAGGTCTACAGGAATGCCGGGACGGTCAGTCCCTGCTCAATAAACGGCATCGATGCCGCTGCCCTGTCCTCGATTTCGCTTTTTGGAGTCTCCCCGTGTCGCAATGGCTGGAGTCGCCTTGGCATTCTGGCCGCAACCCTCCCAGGAATGCACGAGTTCTCGGAGGTCTTCACGGGCGGTGCACCTATCCATATCCGCGCCCTCGCGGTCGGAGCCCTCGGGCCACGATCCCGCGGCTGCGCGGTCGCGCGGGTACGTTCCGCGCGGACAAAACGCCCCGTATCCGCGGGGCTATCGGCGATGAAGGGGCATCAGGGGTCGACGCATTCCCTCCTGGAGCCCTTCTCCCCCCCGAACAAAACTCCCCGTATCTGCGGGGCTATAGGCGATGAAGGGGCATCAGGGGTCGACGCATCCCCCCCTGGAGCCCTTCCCCCCCCCACGTTTCTCCTGACAAGCGAACACCTAATCCCTAATCGGTCAGGCGGCCCCAGCTAGGCCTGCAGGCCCGCGCGCGCGCGCGCAGCGCGGCGCCCCCCACAGCGCACCCCCTCCGCGCGCTCCCCCTCCGCGCGCAGTCGGGGGCGGCCACTCCGCACCACCGTTAGGTCGGGCATGTCCTCCTTCAGGTGGATCTTGGAAGAATAACAAACACACTCGACAAGTACTCAAACGTAAATGATCTTGCATATCATTCGTGCAGAGGGGCACGCCAACTTAAAGCCACCAGCACGGCGGGCAAGCCAACCAAGCCCGGGGACCAGCCGTGGCCTCTTCGACCGCGCAGCGGCCGAGACCAGCACCCGCCACGCCGCAGCCCCCGCGGTTGGCGAACGGTCACTCGAGCCAGGGTGCCCCTCCGACAGGTGCGCCCCCCCCGCCACCCAGGGCTGCGCGAGGGCCCCGGCGGCAAGCCAAGCGCCACAAAGGACCGAGGGCATGCTTTGGATCACGGGGCTCTGGTGCTCAAGCCTGTGTCTGTGGGCACAGGCGGGCCAATCCGAGCTCACCAGGATAGCTGAAGATGGCGTGCGAGAGATGGCGCCATGCCTGGGTCAGATTCGGGCGGCCCCTGAGACGTCCCCAGGATTCAGGGCCGTCCACTGCCTCCTCGCCACCGGCTGCGGCAGCGCCGTTCTCGTCTCGCCGCCTGTCGGCTTCAGGGATGCACATTCCTCGCCTCATACGGCAGCGTCTGGAACTTGTTGCTGGCTGGGGGTTCGAGGTGGCCTAGCATTGGTTCTGGCGAGCATGAAAGTGGGCAGGTTCGAGGTGCTGGGCTCGAGTTAAGACACTCTGGCCGCCTCCAATCTGGAACTCCTTCTTCTTCTTCTTCGCGATGGCCTGCTACGTGGTATCGTTCAGCTGCTTCTGAGATGTCTCGAGTTTGGCCTTGCTCCCCCAGCTCGTCAAGGAGCGCTAGGAGCTCCACGGCCATGACGAAGAAGCCCCCCCGCGGGCGAGGTCTTGGTCAATGTGGCCTCCATGCTCCCCACGGCTTCCTGCGCTTCCTGATGACGCAGCTCCGCCGCCATCATCGCCTCAGTCGCTTCCTCGAGCTGGGGCCGCGCGCACCAAAATCGCCTTCGCCAGCTGACCGTTCTCGGCCGCCTCGTCCCTGGCCTCCTGCGCCCTTGCGCCGTCGACCGTGGCGTCCTGGCGCAGCACGTGCGAGGGCGTCGCAGGCGGCAGCGCCTTCCTGGCCTTCGTGCCGCTTGCTTGGCCTGCGCGGCCGGGCCTTCCGACCTGCAGGCGCGGCTGCGGGCCCGCTCCGGGCCGCCGGCCGCCTCGGAAGCCTCCCCCCGCCGGGCCGTGCTCGGCGCAGGCCTCGGCCGGTGCCGCCTCCGGGAGGTGGGCGGCGTGCGCTCGCCTCTCCGTGCGCGTCGCCCGCAGACCACGGAGGCCACCGGGACCCGAGGGTTGGCTGCTTCTCGCCGCATGCCGCGCGTGTAAAACGACGCGAAGATCGGGACAACATCGGATCGGGATAACTCGAGATCTCTGAGAATCGGCGGGTTTGGAGGATGTATTGGGCGCCGCGGCCGCTCCAGAGCGTTCCGGAACGCTCTGAGAGCGCTCCGGAACGCTCTGGAGCGATTTATCCCGATCCTAGCCCCGTTTTAGCATGGGCGGCGGGCCCGGGAGGGAAGGCACGCGGTCCTCGCGGTGTCAGAGGCCAGCGCGCCAGTCGCCACGGCACGATCGCGCCACACGGCATGCCTCCCGGGGCCAGGGTCGCCCAGCGACGGGACGACGCGCATCAGCGAACCCGTGCGATACCCGCCCCTTGATTGTCGGGGGCGTCCAAAAGTGGGGTGACGACTGTATGGGGGGGGGGGGTCGAGGTTCGGCGGCGAGCGAGGGGGGGAAGTGAGAAGGGGCGGGCCTTCTCAGAAGGCTCGGAAAGCTCCCGGGCCGTCTGAGACGTTTTCTAAGCCTTCCCCGAAGACACGGAACATTTTCCGAAGGCGCGAGGGCTTCTGAGAAGTCCCGCCGCCTTCTGAGAAGGCCTTCTCTCTCATTTCCCCCCTCGCTCGCCGCCGAACGCAGGAGCCCTGCTTCTTGTTGAGGCGGCAATTGTAAACAAACTTACCGCAGGCACCACACGTCGTGAACGCATTGATCCCTCGCTCTGACATGGGCACTCCCGACACGCTGCTGCCGAGAAGACTGCTCCTCCAGGAGCTTGAGGACCGAACTCGGGCGAGAACGGTCAGAAACCAGTGCTCACTGCGGCGGAATAGCAGTGTATCCGAGCTCTGCTACGGGTTGGCTACAGATCAGCATGTGCAGGAGGAGAACAAGGAGGAGGATGAGGAAGAAGAGGAGGACGATGGAGGAAGAAGATGATGATGAGGAAGAAGAGAATGATGAAGAAGAAGAGGATGATGCTCATGCTGATGATGCTACAGGTGATTAAGATGCTGATGATGATGACGATGATCATGATCATCATGATCATGATCATGATCATGATCATGATCATGACCATGACCATGATCATGATGATGACGATGATGATGATGATGATGATGATGATGATGACGATGATGATGATGATGACGATGATGATGATGATGACGATGATGATGATGATGATGATGATGATGATGATGATGATGATGATGATTATAATGAGGAGGAGGATGAGGAGGAGGAGGAGAAGGAGGATGCGGAGGATTTGGACGGACTTGGCGGCGGCGCATCAGAACGTGGGCGAATTTTCAAGTGAGTAGCAAGGGTGACCGCTGGGCTCTGTGAGCGGCTGTAGCCCTCGCGCTGGGTTGGCAAGCATGCGGATCGGGCTCCTCCCCAGTCGGACTCCAATGGACGTACAATCAACCCGCATAGTAAGGATGGGCAACCTTCCCAAGGGTATCCTTGCATCCTTGCCCCTCCGGCCCATCCTTAGCGACTTTATCTGGCCAGCTTCGTCCGAAAAACGTCAACTTGGCCCTCCAAGGCCCTTGCATCCTCACAGCGCATCCTGATGATACGGGTTGACTGTAATGGGTCGGCATGACTGCAGGATGACTCCAGGCAGGATGACTGCAGGATGACTCCTGCTGTCGTAGGTGGAGGAGGGAGGTGCGGCGCGCCCGGCCGTGGAATTGCGCGGGAGGTGGCGAGAAGGGGGTGGTGAAGGATGACGGTGGAACCTCAACCCTGTGTCGTCTCCGCACGGCGTTGAGGGCAGTTCGCATGGATCAGGCTGGCATTTGCGCTTCGACGATGCTGCTTGAGGCACCGGCGAGCCACCTGTTCTTTGCGTCTGGGAACAGCCACTCCAGCAGAATCTGCCGCGGCCGTGCAAGCCCAACGTGTCATACCCATCGCCTCCACCTCCCTCTTGGCCTCGCTCTTTTCACTCTCGCCACCCTTCCTCTCCCACACTCCCCTTGCGCTCCCCTCTTCTTCCGGGTCCTCATTGACCCCCCAACCCTCCCCTGTTTGCCTCCTCTGCCTCCCCCGCCCCCGTCGATTCATTTTCCCCTTCCAGGCTCGACGTCGTTCCCGTGCGCGTGGCGAGAAGCGCCTCTTCTCTCCGTCCGTCTCATCGGCATCTCCGCGCTGTGGTGCAGCGTCGCGACGCGCAGTGTGCGCGCGACGCCCCGGGCCAAATATCACGGAACCATTTCATACCACACAGGAATCAGTCGTTGTCGTCTCATAATCATTTTCTTATCCATTGTTTTGTTGATCGGCATGGGCCTTCGCATCCTCTCCCCCCCATGGAGTAGATCTTGGATGTGTTTAGCGTCTGTTTCAGCTGGAGTCTACCCCATAGGACGCACTGCTGCAAACAGTGGAATCAAGCAGAGGTCCAGAGCCAGACCCCCCCCCTCCACTTCCGCCCAATGTCGAAACGCCGAAGAAGGAAACGGCTCTCCGTCCTCCCTCTCTGCACTCCCCTCCCCTCGCGTCGTGTCCTCATCCTTCTCTGCCTCGGTTCTTGGCACCCTCATTCTCTTTCGTTTTCTCTTTCCGTCAAGGGAGGAACAACCACGAGGACCCGATAATTAGCGTTTACTCAGCGGCCCTGGGCGTTTATTAAACAGCCCTGCCCTGTTCGATTCCTTCGTTGGGTGCGTTTACTAAACGGCTCTGCGTTTAGTAAACGGCTATGCATTTCGAGGGTGGATGTTCTGCCCTCTACTTTGGCCTCCTCTTCCCGCTCCCTCCGCCCTGTCTCTCCTGCCATGGCTACCTCTGCGCCCCCCCCTCGCGTCCCTGGTCCCAACCTTCGGATTTCGACCCTCTCTTCGGCTTGCCTCCTCCGCTGGCTCCTTTGGTCATCCTTCGGCTTGCCTCCTCCTCCTCCTCCTCCTCCACCTCCTCCTCCGTCTCTGCCTCCTCCTCCTCTGGCCGCGCACGCGTGCAAGAGAAGAGGAGAAAAGGCAGAGAGGGAGGACTGGGCGGAAGGGAAGGCGAGGCGGAGGAGGGGGGGAGGAGGAGGGGGGAGGAGGAGCAGCTCCCGCCGCTCCATGCTCTTGGCCCCCCGCAGGCTCGACATCGTCACCATGAGCTCGGCGATGAGCGCCTGTGCCCGCGGCATCCCCCCGCCCCCACGCCAGCCTCGCCTCGTTGGGCGGGGCGCCTGGGGGAGAGAGATCCTCCCCTCCTCCTCCTCCTCCTCCTCCTCCTCCTCCTCCTCCTCTGTCATCCGTAACCGTTTTGGCTCAAGATGACTTAGTCCGTCGGACACAGCGTGGATACCTCCAGTCCGAGGCCAGCTTCCGCTTCAGGCAACCCAGTCGAGCTGCGCGCTGCTGGGGCCAAACGTTTCAGTGCTTGTCGGACCCCCGCCTCCACGAGTCACCAGAAGGTCTGCGAACCGGGGCGTGCATGTGGACAGTGGGAGTTCAACTTCAGGCTGGATCGGAACAGCTGCAAGTGCATCGAGTGCAGTGCGGAGCTGCAGCCGTACCAGAAGGGCTGTGCGGGCACTGCGAGCGGCGGCGAGCAGCAGACTGCCAAACCCCCGTGGCGCGAGGCCAAGGCCCGCAGCTGGGGCAGCGGCAACGGCAAGGGCAGCAACGACACCTACACAAAGACAGGTCATTTCAGAAAAGCGCTCGAGATGATCACTTCCATCCACCCGAGCGGCGCCATCGAGCTGGCCAAGAAGAGCCTCGCTGCCAAGACGGTCTCCGAGACCAAGACGACTACCCCCACGCAGCAGGTACAGTCGCCCACGGCCCGCATCCTCGAGCTAAAGCCAGCGTCATTCCAAAAGCGCAGCGAACACCCTCGTCAAGGCGGAGGAGTTCGCGAAGCAGGCCAATGAGGTCCACCTCCACGCTGGCCAAGAGATGCTCAAGGCGAAGCAAGACCACGCCCTGACGGCCCAGACGCCCCCCACCGCGGTGGCGGGCGGACCTCGGGCAGGCGGACGACGCCGCCACCGGTGACGGCAAGAAGGTCATCTTTGCCTGCGATCTGTCCCTCCTCAACCAGGGCCTCGACAAGCTCGGCGATTAGGAGGGGAAGGAACCCGAGGCCCACCGCGACACCCTCGACGCCAAAGTCATGGAGCTGTGGGCCAAGATTGAGAAGATCAAGGACAAGCCGCCCAAGAGGGCGAGGATAGACTCTCCACCCCCGGCGGACCCATCCCAGAGTGCCGAGGACACGGTCATGCAGCCCCGGAGAACCAGGAGGTCCCAGGCCTGCGCGACCCCGACCCCGACGTGTTCGCAGCCGCCCCCCAGGAGTCTATCGACGCTGCCCGTGGCCGCCCCCCCCCGTGACCCTCGAAGTCGGCGCAGGCAGCTTCCAACCCTGGCTCTGAGGCAGCCGCTGCTCCCGCTGTGCCTGCGGCCCGGCATGGCGGCAGCAGCGGCTCCTCTCCGGCAGCAGGCAAGCCGGCGCTCCGCGGGAGTCTTCCTACCAGGACAGACCCGCCCCCAACTGGCGCGCGCGCGGGCCCGGGCTGCAGAGGCCCTGCGACAGGGCGCAGCCAGCAACTGCAATGCTACGAGACCGCGAACCAAGGATGCAACTGCGTTTTTCGCAAACAGTTTCATGAGGGCGCAGGCGGGCGGGCGCGACATCGTCGGCATGGCGGAGTCCCGCGCGAACGATGAGGCAGTCGTCAAGGCGCGCGGACCCGTCACGAGACGGCTGGATGCTCGCAGCGACGGCCGCGCTGCCCACAGGCCGATCAGCGGCAGGAGCGACCGGAGGGGAGTGGATCTTCGCCGAGAAGGAGATCCAGACCACATCTTTCGAGGTCTGGAGAGAACCAGCCAGACGTGCATCAGGACAAGACCCATCCGCTGGATAGTTTGGCATCGCTTGGTATCTCTTGGAAGCGAGGGCGGTCATAAGCGAGGTAGGTTTGTTCGCCCCCCCCCCCCCCCCCCCTTAGTTTCGGCATCAGAGACGCCGGCCAGCAGACTCTCGTCAGGCTCGCAGCCTGTGCCAGCTGAGGGGCCCGCTGGCCACCCTGGGCGACTGGAACGTCGTTCCCGAGGAGTGGGGCAATATCCAATGGCTCACCGAGCTCAACGCGGGGAGGCCCGCGGCGGAGCATTGCACAGCTACGCGCAATAGAGGGGCAGGCGACGTCATCGATGGCGCCATTGTCACCGAGGGAACGGCGGCCAGCATGAGGTTGCAGGCGGTTGAGGAGGCGCCCTTGAAAGACCACGTGGGCCCAGAGCTTACGATAGCGGGCGGCAAGAAACACTGGTGGCGCAGCAAGCTCGACCTCGCGCGCGCGCCCCCGCAGCTCCCCGACCCAAGAATCGGCGGCCGACGGCGGGCGGCAGAAGGCCTTGCAGAAGACCAGGGGCGAGATAATTCGAGGCAGCAGGGAGGTCCCCAGGAAGCCTTCGGCGAGATCCACGACGAGGTTGACGAGCCTGTGGACGCAGCGCCTGCGCCGACCGCCGCCTTCCACATCCCGGCCGAGCTGCGGTCAGAGGCGCGCGCAGCAGTGGAGGCGGGGGACCTGGCCGGGGGATAGACCCCCTGGCAGAGGCCGCCCTCCGCGCGCCCCGCCCGCCCGGGCGGCCGACGCAAGTTGCGGGGCCGCAGATGCGACCTGCCATCGGCGCGGCAGCCGGCGGGGGAGGCGGGCCCGTCGTTGCCCCAGCGGGCCCTGCCTGCAGGGGCCGCCCCCCCCGCGCGCGGCGCAAGCGGCGCGGGGGGCGCCGCCGCCAGAGGGAGGGGAACGGAGGACAGGGCCAGGAGCGCAACGACGGCCATTTCGCGAGGTGGGACGCGGCGCTGGAGCTGGCCACGCTGGAGCGCCGCGAGGTCCAGCAGGGCGCGAGGGTAGCCTACGCTGCAGGGGGCAGCGGCTGCGCTACCACGCGGGCGGGGTCCTCGGCCACGCCGGCGAGGGCACGCCCGCGCGATCAGCACCTCGATCGACGGCAGGCGCATCGCGGTCGCCCTGCCAGAGAGGCGCGAGATACTACGACGCACGGGGAGGCGCAGAGCTGCAGCAGCAAGGCCGCTGAGATGATGCAGATGGCCGACGGCAGTCCGACGACACCCAGCTCGACCTGATCTGCAACGAGGGCGAGGGGGGCGACTTCGGCCACTGGGCGGATGCCGCGCGGAGGCTCCGCGACCTCTCAGACAGCGACGCGGCCCCCGGCATCTAGGTCGCGGAGCGCTACCAGTCGGGGGCCGTCGCCGCGGCGCTCGCCAAGCCCAGGAAGGCGTTCCAGAGCTGGGCCCTGAAGACGCGGAAGGACGCCCCGCGGCACCTCCACGACATGGTCAAGCAGCCCAGGTCAGAGACCGCATGGCAATGTCAACCTCCTCAACGACATCCAGGAGGTAGGAGCACGGCCCAGAGATGCTGGCCACCAACGGCGCCATCGCCCCCAAGGACCAAGGACAAGGGCGGCAGCGACAGGGTGCTTGGCCAGCCCCCCTTCGCCATGAAGACATGGGGCAAGCTGAAGAGCGGGATCGCCAGCGTGTGGGGCGAGGCCATGGGCGACATCCGGGACGCGGCCACGCGTGGGTCGTCGGCCCTCCAGGCCTCGCTGCTCCGCGCCACCCTCGACGAGGCCGCCGAGGAGCTCGGCGTCGCCGCGGCCGCCGTGCTGCTCGACCTGTCGATGTTCTTCGGCGGCATCGGCGCCCCGAGGCTGGCTCGGCACGCGCTGGCCCAGAGCTCGGCGCCAATCGCGCTCTGCTTGGGGCTGCAGAGGTGCCCCTGGCCCCGAGGCCGTTGAAGGAGAGGCAGTGGGTCAGCGGGGGGGGCCAGGCGATGCGATCCACCGTGGCAGGCCCCCCGCATGGAGCGCGGCTCGCCAAGGCCTCGCGGGCCCCATCCTCCACCGATCCCAGCTCACGAAGCAAGCGGACATAGGCATCTGTGCGTTCGTGGACGACGCCGTTCTGTTGGCGCGGGACATGGAGGCCAACGTCGAGGAGAAGCTGATAGAGAGTGGTGAGACTAGGGCGCTGCCCTCCAGGACGCTGGCCTCGCGGCCACCTCTCATGACCACGGTCGTCGCGACCGCCCCGAAGCTGGCCGCAGCCGTCGCCGAGGGACTTCACCAGCGAGGAGTTCCAGCAAAGGCGGAGGGCAGCTTCGCCAACCTCGGGGCGGACTGCAAAGCGGCCCGCGCGCGCGGCAGGCGCAGGGGCGAGCAGGGGGCGCAGAGGGGTGCCACAATGGCCAGCGCCATCATGCGCCCAGGAAGATGGCGAGGCTCAAGGCGGCCACAAAGGGCTTCTGGACGACTTGAGCGAGAGCCCAGGGCACCTACGGCCACCAGGTGCACGGCCTGCCGCGCTTAAAACATTCCCAGGCCGAGGATGCAGGCACCCCGTGCGGCGGCGGGCCGAGTCCCAGGCACGTGCCTCACCAGCACCCTCGCCGTAGTCTACGGCAGGGCGGACCCAGCAAACCGTGAGCAGCTGACGGCGTGGCTGGACCTCTGGACTAGCCACCCTGAGCTCCGCGCCGGGATCGCCGCGGCCTGGCAGTTCGCAGCCAGGAGGCTTTGCGCTGCTGGAGACTGCCGTTGGAGACGCGTGCGAGGCCTTGTCTCAGCCATGATCGCGACGCCCATCGATTCTGGCTGGGCGGCCGTCGACCGCGACTTCTGGGTCTCCGAGGACGACGTCGGCCGGCGCTTCCCCAAGCACACCCAGGACGGCATCGCGGAGGCGGCGGCGGACTACGTCGAGCTGCTGGACGAGTGCGAGCGCTCCGTCGACAAGATGCTCTGAGGGCAGGCGCCCCTGCACCAGGGCTCGACGGCCATGGCGCGTGGCGCCCACGCCCTCATGGTGAATCGGGGGCTGCAGCAACTCCAGCGGCGCGGCCACGACGATCTCTGGGCTCTCGACGCGGCGGTCGTCTCGGTCGGCCAGTGGACCCGCCAGCGCCGAGCGCAGGCGAGCTATGAGATCCCCGTGCAGTACTCGCGCTGTGGCCAGGAGCCTGGCGCACTCTTCCGCAGAGCGTGGACCTGTCCTTGCAACGCTGGCCATGCTGACTTTGAAAAGGCGGCCCGTCTCCTCCCTCGGGCGTTCGCTGGCCACGAGGCGTGGCCTTCGCACTGGCTGCGGAGCCT